ACAGCATCACAGGCAGGGCCCAGGGACCTTACGTGCCAAGGAAAGGGGAGTCTCCTTGAGAGAGCCCATGGCTTGTCAAGCAGGAGCAACCATTCAGACTTCCTGCCCCTTCTCTCTGCAAGCAGCTCCTCATACAGCATCAGGAGCTGGCAACTTCCTCCCGCCCCGAGTTCTGCTAGGCAGACTGTATCTCTGCCTTTGCTGAGCCCAGTGGGGCATTCACTGGCAATACCAGCCGGGGGGAAGAAGGGTGGGCTTGTTATTAAGGCACTGGAGTGGGAGTCAGGAGATCAGGGTTCAATTTCTGGCTCTGCCACGTGCTTCCTGTGTGACCTTGGGCAAGTCACTTGGCCTCTTTGGGCCCTAGTTGCCTCATATGGAGAATGAGGCTAATGAGAGCCCAGCCTCCGAGGGAGCGTAGGGAGGCCAAGAAATAAATACAAGCCAAGCCGTGATGCTGGGAATGGCTGGTGCGGGGAGCAGCCCTGGGGCCTGGGACAGCAATGACGCACCAAGGTGAATGTTGGTTGTGATGGGATCGCAGCTGAGCAGCCAGCGAGTGGAAATGGTGAATGGATGGATTACCGATACCACTTACTGCCCACTATCATTTAGCCAGAGCCCGATCGATAAGTCCCACCTCAGAGCCAGACGCTCATCGAGCAAATCAGTGCTTAGACAGAGCGGAAAGGGAGACCCGGGGTGGGAATGCGGAATGTCCCCAAAACCAGCTCCCTGCCGGCTTCATAAGGCTGGGCCCCCAGCCAGGGAGAGTCGGTGATGCGCCCTGGGCTGGTGCAGCGCGAACCCTCGGCTGCGGTAATGATGACTCAAACCTTCTCATTGCCACTGAGGCTCTTTAATGGGGGTAGCTGTGGCAGAGGGGGCTGAGCTCCCCATTGCAGGGCACTGGGTACAGGGCCCTATGGGTAACGCTGGCCAGCAAATCCACGTCAGCTGCCCTAGGGGAATAAAACAGATCTGTGCCTCTGCCCAGCTCCAGCAAGCACTTCACACTCCGGGTGCCAGAGAAACTATCAATAATAATCACATCCCCTTCTCCAGCTGCCTTAACGTTTACACAGGGAATAGTTTCCCCGCTTGCTTCTCCTGGCTGCACAAACTAGCTACTTATTAACCCTTCGCCCACAGGCAGCTGCTCTCACCAGCCAGCAAAGACCCCCACCTCACTTGGTGATTGGCAAAGAGACATTCCCATCTGGGATTCCCAGCCCCCGAGTTAGCCCAGGATGTTACATCAGAGCCCCTGTCTATCTCTTTGGCTGGAATTGGTGTCAGCCAGAGTATGCTGATCATAAAATCCTAGAATCTCAGGGTTGGAAGGGACCTCAGGAGGTCATCTAGTCCAACCCCCTGCTCAAAGCAGGACCAACCCCAACTAAATCATCCCAGCCAGGGCTTTGTCAAGCTGGGCCTTAAAGACCTCTAAGGATGGAGATACCACCACCTCCCTAGGTAACCCATTCCAGTGCTTCACCCTCCCCCTAGTGAAATAATGTTTCCTAATACCCAACCTAGACCTCCCCCACTGCAACTTGAGACCATTGCTCCTCGTTCTTGTTCTTGTTCTGATCACCTGCCCCCTCTCAGTTTCCAATAGACCAGCCTGTTTGTCAGCTTTTCAAAGCGTTCGCCTTGACGGTGGAAGAGCCGGTTCTCTGCCTGACAGGGAATTGTTGAGTGGAATCCCTTCTAGTGAGGAGAAAGGGGGATTTGGGGGGGGGGGTGCGTCTGCATGTTTGTTTAAAGTAAAACAAAAATCTAACCAGCCATTGTTTTGAACAAGGCAGCAGGGAAAACAGGTGAGGTTGGAAGCAGCTGAGCCCGGCCCTGGAGGTCAGCCTCTCGGAGGAGCGGTGCCTTTATAGTGACGTGATGCCAGCCTTGGCTATGGCGCAGGTGTGGGGATGGTGTCACAAATAGCTGTTAGACCCGCCCTAGCGAAACAGACTGGAGGTGTCTGCGATATACGAACCAACTGCCGATTCTCCAGGTCTGCGGCTGTATATGAGGGATTGTTGTCACTCTCTGTGAACAGGGAGTGACTGTAGCCAACCGCCCGAGCTGGAGATCAATAGCTCTGTGCACAAAAAGCCTCAGGTGGCTTGTGTATTTTTGTCCAGGTGGCTCCTTGTGCTCCTTTGGCCTTGAGAAAGATGTTCAGTGGAGTCCAGTGACAGCCCCGGGGTTTGAGCTCCCTGTCAGCCAAGCTGCTCAAGGACAAGTTCGTGAATAGCAGCTTGTGTGCTCCATCAACGACTGCATCTGTGTCTCTGTGACCCAGGTGTACGTTACCTGTTACAGCCCCGAACGCCAGCGGCCTGGGGGGTGGGGGGGGCGTCCATTTCCGAAGGCCGCAGCACTCTGTCCCCTGCTGCCCTGGGATCCCACGCTCTGTTGGCCCTTGTCTGTTTCTTGCCGTGCTGTGAAACTGACATGACGTATCCGGAGAAAAGGGAGACATGGAGCAGATGGAAACGCTCTCTCCTCCCTGGTGCTGCGGGCAGGACCCACGCCACTCGCCAAAGCCAACTAGAGTTTGTACGTGGAGCCCTGATGGCCCCATGCTCATGCCCTTGCACGAGCGTTACACCAGTGAACTACAGAACGTGGGTAGTGACCAGGCTGGTGTCTCCCGGGCTCTGCTTCCAGGGAATGCACTAGAGCAGTCACTCACAGCCTGCTTGCCCCCTTCACATTTAATGTCTTGAGAGTAGCTCTCATAAACCAGTAACCTGTCCCCCCACTTTTCTGAGCTTTTCCCCCTCACACCCACTGAGCCTATTCATCTTATCCCACATCCTGCGCGGGTTTCCTGTGGCCTCCAAGACACAAGACCACCCCTTATTTCACTGGCTGCCGGGAGACGCTGGGATTGGATGGGGATCAGCTCAGAGTAACTGCGGTTAGCTGGGGTTGACCTGCGCTTTTATTCTTCCTCCACACCCAGCGTCTGGATCAAGCTCACCGGTGCTGCTGCTGGCAGACGGATCGCCTCGGGAGAGGGGGATGGAATCCAGAGCAGTGTCTGGGGAAAGGTCGCGGACAGCAAAGACTGTGAGCCCATCCTGAGACCTATCAAATAGCAGCTATCCGCCAGCATCAGGCTGCGCCAGGGGATATAGCGACACAAAGAGAGCACCTCTCATCAGTGGGCCTCTCACCCAGTGCTGGATAGCAGGGGTCGGGATTGTGCTTTGCCCCTTTTACAGATGGGGAAACCGAGGCACCGAGCGGTTAAGTGAGTTTTCCGAGTTTGCGCAGTGGGTTACTGTGAATCAGGGCTGGGACCCCCTGTCATGACGCCCTGTACTAGTCTCCCCACTGCTGCACACCGCAAATGGAGCCTCTTCTTTCCAGAGCCTGTGAAGATCTTCCAGGGCCATAGGGCCCCGTCTCCCCGCCCTCCTGCCTGCACGTTGCATTTGCACGTTGGTACAGCGCTCGCTGTGTCCCCTGGGGCCGCCCGAGCTTGGGCCACGCAGGCCACCAGCCAGATTCCTTCCCCAGCTGCCATGGACCCAAACAGCGCTGCTCCGGGGCTGGCTGGGCAGCCACGCTTCAGTGTCTGCAGCTCCAGGCTCCGTCCCTGCTTCCCTCCCCGCGCTGGGCGCAGCTGGCTGGGAATTAATTCCACCAGACAGGGAGCTTGACAAGGAGTCGTTTATCATGGGCTGAGGCGCTTTGTTTCCTTCTCGAGTACCCCAGTCGCCACGGTAATTTGTCTCCATGTAATGAGGAGCGCATGGCACAAGCGGATTGGGGCAGGCTTGGTTTATCGCCTGCCTCCCTCTGCCTCATCCCTGCGCATGCCAGGAAAGTGGGCAGCAGGGGGCACCCCCGTCTGCATTCATCTTCCCCATGCAGCCCTCTTCTCCGTCCGCCTGCTTTGACCTGCCCCTGCTTTGAAATCCACCTCTGCCAGCACAGCCTTCGGATGGTCATTGGCACCGGACTTTGAATTAGCAGGCCTCACGGCGCCTGGTCCCATTGGCCCATCCCCTGTTTCGCTGAGCACATACCATTTGCTCTTAGCCAGTCTCCCATCCCTGGGCGGCTCCTCCCTCTCTAGGGGTAGCTACCCTTGCTCCCTCAACTTCCCTGCCGCTAGGAACGAACCCACATGCCGGGAGATGGCTCCGGCTAGTACAGAGCATGGACAACTCCCTCCTCTGGCTTCCTTTCCTTTAATGGATACATGTAACCATAACATGCTCAATCTGACTGCTTCCCTCCTCTTGGCTGAGCCGGAAGTGACAGCGATCACCATTGCTGTTATCACCCTGTCGAGTTACATGCTTGTCTCCGGTCTCATGCTTGGGCTGTAAGCTCTGTGGGGTGGGGGCTGTCTCTGTTGGGGATACATTGCACCTTGCTCAGTGGGGCCCGGATCCCTTAGTTGGGCCTCTCCATGCTGCTGCAATACAAATGATCCCCAAGAACAGTCCTGTGCCGTTGTTTGTGTTTCGGGGTGTTGGGGAGGTGCCCGAGGCCATCTCTAGGTTAGACAGGAAAGTTCTCTGCTCTCCCACACACACAGGGCCCCCGGCCCCGTCGCCTGGGTGTTGGCCGCTCACAAGAGATGTTTAGATCCCCTGGCCCTTCTTGCAGATGAGTCAGCCCTGCCAGCCGCCCCGTTGGGGTCGTTCCAATTAACCAGCCTGAAATTCCCCCCCGGAGGTGGGATTTGTCTTCACCGTCTGCCCTGAGCCGTCCTGCGGCATGGCGGTGGGGCACTGAGCTGCGCGGCCTTCGGCCTCAGGGGAAGTGCTCCATTGGGCCAAAAGCTCTGCTGGGGGAAAGCGGTCCCACTCCACCGATGGCAGCGCCGCTGGTCCTGGACATCCGTGGAGAATTGGGCCGGGTGATCGCAAAGCCTGTTGGCGCGTTAGGTGTCGGTGTCACCCATTTTCCCTCCTCCTCTTGCCCTGGCCCCTCCCCGGGATGCTGCTCTCTCACCTTGTCCTCGGTTTCCCCAGCAGGGCGAAGGGCAGGGCTTTGATGGCTGGCTCTCCAGAGGCCCAGGGGCGGATGGAGCTGGGAGGCCCCCCAGGCTGAACGTGACCAAGCGTGTTCTGCCATGGAACGAGCAGGTGAGCTGGGCAGGGCACGTCTTTGGGGCAAGTCGCGAGGGGCGGGGGGAAGCCGTCCTCGCTGACTGCGCGGGAGCCGCGGAGACAGCGCTGGGGCAGGGGGACAGGCGTAGGAGAACTTTCGGGATCATCAAACAGCTTTTCCCCTCTGACTGATTCTGCCGGCGCAGTGCTGGGTTAATGGAAAGGCGCGCGCAGCTGGCGGCCGCTCTCGTTTTCCAAGGGGTTCAAGGCCTCCCTCCGTGTGAGCTCCCGGCCTGGCAGGCCGGCGTTGTGACTGCATCAGCCACCCAGCTGGGGGAGAGCAGAAGCCGTGGAGTTCTTCATCCATCATGGCTCGGGGTAGGAAACGCCGCCAGCAGGCAGCTTGGCCCAGGCCCCCTTTGCGCTGCCCTCCAGCAGAGCTGGAGTAAGAGGAGGGCTCGGGCCAGAGCTCCACAGCGGGGCCTGAAACCTGTGCCAGGCATCTCTCTGCCTAACGAACTCATGCCGTATGCCAGCGGCGTCTCTGCTGCCTCTGCCCCCCTGGGGCAGGGGAATCTCTGAGAGACCCGGGGCTGTAGCTGGGAGGGGCTTGTTAGCCCAGTGTGGTCAGGAAGTGGGGATGCTGAGAGCTCCGGGACCAGATCCAATGGCCTATTAGACGCCTCGGGAGTTTAGTCCTGCGTCCTGCAATGTGTTTGGTGGATGTAGCGACACCCTGGGGGCGGGGGGCGAGGCCTCTGCTGGGAGCTCCTAGAACTTGGAGAGAGCAACCGGGGCTGCAGATCAGCACGCTGTGACCTGGTGGGGTGCTGTGGCTGGCATCCGCCACTGAGAGGGGAGTGGCTCTCACCTTGCCGGTCTCTGCTGCTCCCCGATATCGTGGGTCAGATCCCCATCCAGCCAGGCTACCCCGATCGAGGACTGGCCCTGGATCGCAAGCGTGGCAATAACCCCAAAGGCGTACGGGCCAAAGTGGACTAGGCTCTAGTTCCACCCGATCCCGAGGGCTGTGAGGGGCAGTAAACCCTCTGGGACGGCAGCCCTGCAAGCGAAGGCAGCCATTGCCTGGGGTGTGGAAGCGTCCCCACACCTGATGCTGCACACCTCCCCTGATGGTTCCCAGACGGCGAGAGCTCCCCGTTTTGGGGGTTATTGTTCATTGGCACATGGCGAAAAGCCCCTTTCTGTGCCGCAGCTGCGGTTCAGCGGGTATCGAAGGCCCAGCGTGGTCGGCACCGCTGTAGTGGGGTGGCTGTTGGGGCATCATGGTTGTTGGCAGAGCTGGTGCGATGTGGCGGTGGGCAGAGTGGACCTGGCGAGGCTCTTGGCAGGGCATAGTTGGTGAAGCTGTAGGGGCGTGGCACGTGGTGTGGTTGTTACAGCTGCCGGGGGTGGCAGGGTGTGGGAGTTGGCACAGCAGGTGGGATGTGGCCATGGCAGAGGAGGCATGGCATGGCTGTTGGCAGGGCGTGGTTGGTGGAGTTCTAGGGACAAGGCACAAGATGTGGTTGTTAGAGCTGGCGGGGTGTGGCTATTGGCAGGTCAGGGCAGTTGGCACAGCTGCTGGGAGGCTGTGGTGGTGGGCACGGCTGGTGATAGGGCATGGCGGGGTTGGCACGGCTGGTGGCAGGGCATGGCGGTTGGCAGAGGAGGCAGGGCATGGCAGGGTGGGCACGGCTGGTGGCAGGGCATGGCGGGGTTGGCACGGCTGGTGGCAGGGCATGGCGGTTGGCAGAGGAGGCAGGACATGGCAGGGTTGGCACGGCTGGTGGCAGGGCATGGCGGTTGGCAGAGGAGGCAGGACATGGCAGGGTTGGCACAGCTGGTGGCAGGGCATGGTGGGGTTGGCACGGCTGGTGGCAGGGCATGGTAGGGTGGGCACGGCTGATGGCAAGGCATGGCGGTTGGCAGAGGAGGCAGGGCATGGTGGGGTTGGCACGGCTGGTGGCAGGGCATGGCTGTTGGCAGAGGAGGCAGGGCACGGCGGGGTTGGCACGGCTGGTGGGAGGGCGTGATGGGGTTGGCAGAGCGGACATGGCTCTTGGCAGGGAATTTTTCCCTGCTGGTGCTCTTCTGAGGCCACTGAGCAGACAGGCACGGGAGCTGGTGGTGGCAGCGAGCCATGGCAGTGATCGACGCGGCAGATGATGGTGGAGCAGATAGTGGTCACGCTTCCCCGGCAAGGGGGGGCTGTGCAGTGAGCGAGCCCCCTGGCTATGCCTGAGCGGGAGGGGAGGCATTAATAACACCGCTTGTGTTAATGGGAGCCGGGACCTTGGAGTCCATTGTCCCGCTGCGTCCCCGCTGCACAGACAGCCTGGAGATTCGGCTTCTCTAGTGATTGCAAGTGGGGGCAGCTCTAGGAGACGGGGACCCGGCACTCAATTCTTAGCTGCTTTGACCCTGACCGCAGCCCTGACGTGAAAGCCAGCAGCAGGGAGGAGAGCTGCGAGCCCTTGGGGAGGGGGGCATTGCACAGCCGACCGGACCGGAGAGCGGGGAGGGAGCCCTTGGCTGTGCCGGCTCTCGTGGTTAGCTGGCTCCCTTTGATCTCCAGGGCAGGGCTCAGGGGTCCCTGTCTCCCCACCCACCATTCCCAGTCTCAGTGTGCTGCCAGGTGCCGAGACCTCCCGAGGCGCCCAGGGCTGGGGCTGTGCATGGCCAGGGCAGTGTGTGCCCGTGCGGAGTGACTGGAGACTGCTGGGACTGCTCCCCAGAGACGCTGCCCCCTTCCCCTCCCCTGTGCCCCCGCCACCCCGGGAAGTGTCTCAGTCCACAGGCCTGCTCCAAGCCTATCACTGCGTCCCTGCCTTCCTGCCTCTTCAGCTGCCCTTGGCCCCACCCCCTCTCCTTCCTCCCCAGCTGCAGGGCCTGGCCAGTGTCCGCGGGCACGTGTGGAGCGGCGGTCACTGCAGGCAGCTGGCACGTGGGGGCCGGGGCACCAGCTGGGAGGGTGCCCCATAGCAGCATGTTGGGGATGAAGGGATGCTGGGGGATTTGACCGACCATCTCAGTAAACCCACAGCAGACACTGGGATCCCTCTTCTGCCTCAGAGTCACCCCGGTGACATGAGCCGTCCCGCCATCGGCCTTGTCCATCAGTCACAGCTCTGGAGCTCTGCCACCCACAGGCCTTTCCAGGCCACGGCATGGGGGAAATGGGCAGGGTGGTGGGCAGCACCAGCCCCAGATCTCTCCTCTGCTCCCTGCCAGCATCCACCCTAGGGAACGACTGGGTTCTCCTCAGAGCCTTTGGAAAGGGAATAACGGCACCCAGCTTCCCAGCCACTTTCCTGTGTGTCCTGCCCTCCTGAGCATGGCCACTGCCCAGGGATCCTGGCCTTTCGAACCCCTGCCTGGGATCCCCCTGCACGGGCCTGATTTCAGCCAGCCTGGCACATGCTAGTGGTGGCCTCTGACGGGAGGCCCACCAGGAGCTGGGAACTCTGCTTCGCTCGCTCCTCTGCTGTGCTCGGCCTGGGCCTGGGGGTGTAAACAGGAACTCTCTGGTGTCTGCTTTGCAGGGCCTATTCATTAGGTGATGAGTCTGGTACAGCCCCGGGGGGAGCTGCCGCTCAGATTCCTACTTTTAGCTCTGGGGGTCCCCAGTTGAGTCCTTGATGGGTTGGCCAAGACGGCGGCCATCCCACTTCACAGGAGGGGGGTGGCCAAAAATACAAAGACAGAGGGGAAAGAAATGAGGGTCAAGGGTGGAACAATCCCTGGGTCCCTACCCGTGGGGCCCAGCCGGCCCAGGAAGGAGCAGAAGGAGTGGGACGGCTGGTCAGGGTCTGATCTCTGGAACTTGAGCTGTGTCTAGGGCATTTAGGACATGGTGCTAGGCCCGTTGCTGGCAGCTGGCTTTCCCATCAGCCAGGGATTGGCGGTATCCGCGGGGGGCAGACTTCTAAGACCTGCTGTAGACTGGGGATTTGCCCCGGTTTGAGCCACCAGTGCATTTGTGCCCTGCTGTGGCTGCGTAGCACCCTGGGGAGAGCTCGGGAGTGGCTGAAGACAGCGCCAGGGCTGGGGAGCTGGCGTGGCTTAAACTGAAACTGATCTTCCTTTGAGCTGGCAGTAACATGGGCTGGCTGAGGAACCTGGGGCTGCTCTGACCCCTGGTGCAGCCTGGCCGGGTGGGCAGGTAATGGGTGTTTAAAAACATGCAATGCCCCAGAAAAACAGCAACCTGCACCCACATTTCCCCTGGAGCGCAGGCGGGGGCATGTGCTGCTGGGCTGTGTGCCCCCTTCCCTTCCACGGCCCCCTGAGCTGCTCCCCTCCCGGTGTGCTGGCCCCAGCCTTGGTCTGGTGTTGTGCAGCTCTGAGCCCTGGTGTAGCGGGGTCTGATCTGGCGCCCATGGGGATCTCTCCACGGCCTCGGGTGGGATTCGGGCGTGGCCTTTGGCCGGCGATGGGGAGGTGCACGTGAGCCGGTGGGAACCCGGCCCAGGACGTGCTCTCACGCCCCCGTGGGGGCTGTCCATTCTGCAGTACAAGGGGAAGGCGAACCTTCACGTCTTCGAGGACTGGTGCGGAGGGGCCGTGAGGCACCTGAGGAAGAACCTGCACTTCCCACTCTTTCCCCACGTGAGTACAGGCCCCTCACTGGGTCGCAGCCGCACCGTCCCTCCCCTCGGCTCGGCTTGGCTGGGGGTCGCTGGCTGATCTGCTCTGGCCGGTACCTTTGTTTGCCAGAGTGTTTGGCTTCCTGAGGGCCTGACCCAAAGCCCATTGCAGTGCGGGGGAGCCTGTGAGTCGGGGATCCCCTAGGGACTGATCCTGGACAGATAACTCCTGTGGGATCCATGGGACCTCTCTCTGGGCGGAATTTCCCTCCATCAGGAGGCCCGCTCAAGCCCCATGTGGGGTGTCAAAGGTGTGGGACTGAAGTGGGCCCGAGGCTGCTGCCCTGATGGTGGAATTTCACCCTCTCTAGGGACCTGGCGGGGCTGTGGGGCGGAGGCGGGGCTGTGGGGCACACTCCTCTGCCTCCCCCAGGAGTGTGGGTGCTTGTGTGACCCGGCCCAGAACAAGGCCTGGGTGTGATGTGTCCCTCTCTCTCTCTCCCTCATCCCGGCATGTGCAGGCCCGCACCACGGTGAAGAAGCTGGCTGTGTCGCCCAAGTGGAAGAACTACGGGCTGCGGATCTTTGGGTACATCCACCCCTTCAAGGATGGTGAGCATCTCCCCTGCCCCCCACCTATCAGGACTGGGCTGGGCTTGGGGGCTGCACCGAACCACTGCCTCTTACCTTTTGCCCTTGCCTACCTCTCGGGCAGGGGTGTTCAGAGACTCCTAAACTCGAAGGCCAGAAGAGAGCCTGAGATGATTCATGCAGCTTTGGGAGCTCCGTAAAGCTACGCCCCCTTCTCACTCGCAGGCACAAGGCAGGAGCAGCCATGTAGCTTCAGGGATCCCATACCACTCCCCCGCACCAGCCCAGACGGCTCTGAGGTACAGAGAGCAACCTCCGATCCTTCCCGGGACAGCAGCGTAGCTGCAGAGTGCCCTGGCAGGGACCCCTAATTTAGCAAGTTACACAGGTGTTGCTGACCCAGCCACCATCACCACCCCACCTCCCTGTTGTCCCGCAGTGCGGGGAACGTCCGTCACCCCTGCTCACCTGCCGCCATTCCACACTGTAACCTGTGGGTCTTGGGGATTTTCGTCAGGGGCAGCTGCTGCTACTTTGCTCCATTGCTGTTCTGGTCGCCCCATCTCAAAAAAGATATATTAGGATTGGAAAAAATACCGAGAAGGGCAACAAAAGTGATTAGCTTTTGGAAAAGCTTCTGTAGGAGGAGAGATTAAAAAGGCAGGAACTGTTCATCTTGGAAAAAAGCGGTCTATAAAATCGTGACTGGTGTGGGGAAAGTGAATAAGGAATTGTTATTTACTCCTTCCCATAACACAAGATTGAGGTGTCACCCAATGAAATTAATAGCCTGAAAACAAACATAGGGAAGTAGTTCTTCACACAACACACAGTCTAACTGGGCAACGCATTGCCAGGAGATTTTGTGAAGGCCTTGTGAAAGCATAACTGCTTTCAGAAAAAATGACTGAAGTTCCTGGAGGAGAGGTCCATCAATGACTATTAGCCAAGATGGTCAGGGACGCAACCCCACGTTCGGGTGTCCCTAAGCCTCTGACTGCCAGAAGCTGGGCCTGGACAACAAGGGACAACAATAATTGCCCTGTTCTGTTAATTCCCAGTGAAGCACCCGGCATTGGCCACAGCCGGTAGACAGGGTACTGGGCTAGAGGAACCATTGGCCTGACCCAGTATGGCCATTCTTTGGGGTTATATTAACGACTACGTTCTTCCTTGCTCCACAGGGGACTTCCAATTTTCCGTAGCGTCGGACGACAACTCGGAGTTCTGGCTCAGCTCTGATGAGATCCCAGCCAATGCCCGGCTGGTGGCATTTGTGGGCAAGGTACCGATCTCCTCTCAACTACTCCTCTATCCCCTGGCAGCACTCAGCCTATGCAGTGAATGCTCCTGGGCTCGTCCCTCTGGGTAGCAACGCTCTTTATTATTTCCCCGCAACTAATGCCATCTGCTGGGAGAGGAGGAGCCTGTGCTGGGATGCTAAAGTGCAAATGGAGCCGGGATAATTGCCAGTGGGATCCATAGAAAACCTGAGCAAATCCAGCTGTGACCGTCACATCTGGAGGCCACATTGTCACGACCAGAGCCTGGGATACCAAACGCCATCGTGCATGGGTGTTCAGGCTCTGCGTCACGGCCGCAGCGCTGCAGTAGGGCTGGAGCAGCACTCTCACACCAGCTGCTTGTGCTCTTCACCTTAGAGATGTCCCGCAAACTCTGGGACTGAAATGGCTCTGCCTTGCTCTGATCCTGGAGAGTGAATCTGTTCTTGGGCACCAAGCCTGGCGAGAGAGTCTGGCCAGCTGTTTAGGCGAATAAGGAAACTCTGGGAACAGGGGGCTTTTCTTCCCCTTCCCGGAAAGCTTTGGGGGTTTGCCCTTTAATAACTGTCTGATGAGCGTGGATTGGAAACCGTGCTCTCGCTCGGCTCAGGCTTTGCGTTGCTGCCCTGGGAAGATGCACAGGGTAAGGAGCGCTGTTCGGCGCTCGTGGAAATGGCAGTCAGATGCACGGGCAACTTTGTTTTTCAAATCTCTTAAAACGCACCTCAGCCGTAATGGCTCCGACAACGGGAGTGCAAGGACCCCTGCCGATTATACCAGCTATGAGGGCTTCGCCGGTGTCTTAGGAACACAGGAACAGCCAGGTTGTTTTAGACCAGGGGTTCTCAAACTGGGGGTCGGGACTCCTCAGGGGGTCGCGAGGTTATTACGGACGGGGTCGCGAGCTTTCAGCCTCCACCCCAAACCCCGCTTTGCCTCCAGCATTTATAATTGTGTTAAATAGATAAAAAAGTGCTTTTAATTTATAAGGGGGGGTCGCACTCAGAGGCTTCCTATGTGAAAGGGGTCACCAGTACAAAAGTTTGAGAACCCCTGTTTTAGATCAAGGGTCTATCCAGCCCCATGTCTGCTCTCCAGAAGTGGCCAGCGCCAGCTGCTTCCATGGAAGGTGCAAGAACCCCACAGTAGGCAGATGTGAGACCATCTCCCTCCCCACCCCCCAGCCATAGCTCTTGTCCTGATTTCTCCCAGTGGGTGATTAGTGTATGGCCTGAAGCCCTTGTGCATGTGCATAGCCAATGCTCAGCCATGCGCCTCGGCGAGGCAGGGGCGTTCTGCTGTCCTTCTCAGCAGGACAGGTGTGGTGATGTTTGCTGGGGCATTGGGGGCCTGGAATGGTCTCTGCTGGCTCTCGAGGGAGCAAAAGCTGCCTGAGCCTGCGTGGAGCCCTTGTCCGTGGCGCTCGTTCCGCACGGAGCCGTGGCAAGGGAGAGCTGGTGGGTAACGTCCTGTCTGACGCAGCACTGAGCGTGGAGGGACCTTGATCCCTGGCCGGGTTCCCAGGCCCTGCCCGAACACAGCTAGATGGTGGTGATGATAAAGCAGCTGGGGAAGGGGCACACAGAACACCAAGTCCCCTGGGTGCTGCCTTTGGAGCTAGAGGGGTCCCTCAGCCCCCTGGCCCCGCCTTGGCACTCGCCCATCACTAGCTCTCATGCACTCTCTCTCCCTCACCAGCTGGGCTCCGAGTGGACGGCGCCAGGGGAATTCACCAAGTTCAGCTCTCAAGTCTCCAAACCTATCCGGTAGGTGGGACCCGCCCTGCGCCTGCTCAGTCCTTTCCTTGCCCAGCTTCAGCCCCAGCAGGGTCACGGGGGGGTGGAGGGAATGGGGGAACGGGGCAGTGTACTGCAAGCAAACCCCGCCTCCAGCCCCACTCCTTTGTTTTCCCCATCAGCTTTTCCCCTTCGCTCCCTTCCTCCCCCTCCCATCTGGCCCTGCTTCCCCTCCCCTTGTGTCTGTCTCCCCCACACCCGCCCATCAACCCACGTCCTGCTGTGTCATCCTGCTCTGTCAGCGAGGGGTTCCTCTCCCGCCACCCACGCGCGCTGCTTGTCAACATGGCTTTAGCTGGAGCTGACAGCTCTATTCTGGCTTGTCTCTGCCTGCTCCATCAGCTTGCTGTCAGGCAGCGCATTAGCGCCTGGGCTGAGGGGGTCCTTTCCTCCAGCTCCATGTCACAGCCACGCTCGCTCTGTTCTGCACCAGGGCTCCCGGAGCTGACAGCTTTCCTGGGTCAGCCCCAACCCCTCTCCGGCAGCATCAGGGGGCGCTGGTGCTCCCCAGGTAGAATTCAGCGACTGGGGAGCTGTGCTAGATAGGAGGGTCTGTCCTGGGTTAGGGGCCTGTCCCTGCCCCAGCACTGTCCCTAACCCTCGCCCCTGTCCTGGCTCTCTGGGGGTGCTGGAAGAGACAGGTACAGACAGCAGCTCTGAGCACACGCAGTTCTCCTGCAGGGCTCAGGACTCTGAGCTTGCTCTGCCAATAGCACTAATGGCCAGTGCAGGATGCTCAGAGATGCACTCGGCTTGCTTATAGCATCCCCCTCTGGCAAGGAGGCAGGAGAAGAGAGCCAAGCAAAAGCAAGAGGGAATCCGTCCAAATGCAGGAAGGACTCTGAATTGCAGGGACCCTGCGTGCAGGGCAGAGCCGCTCAAACCAGGGCTGGCCATGAGCCATGCAGGCAGCTGGCCAGCACTGCTCCTCTGCTTGCGGGGGGTGCAGCCTAAGCAGCCTCCCCCATTAGCTGTTGGTGGGGCCAGTAGGGAAGGTTGCCAGGATCCAACGTAGCAGCACGTGCTAGGTCACAGGTAGCCCTGTTTGTGGAGGTGCTGGGGCCCCGCAGGCCCCCCTGAGTTCAGCAAGTGCTCAGCAGGGCCAGTGGCCTCTCTTTTAATTTCAGCATGTCTCCATGTTCAGGAGATTGTGTGTAGGTAAATGGGCTTCACAGTCTGGTACCCCTGCGCTAGAGGCCACAGATCCAACCACATCCCTTGCTCTGACTGTCCCTTTCCCTGGCATGACAAGCCTCTCTGCTGACACGTTGGTAGCAGCTGGCTGTGAGTTCCTTCCAGCCCTTCTGTTTCTCATGGCCCCTGTGTGTGCAATAACTGTACTGCATCAGTCTGGGGAATCTGCCAGCACAGGGGGGATGCTAAGGAACTGAGCCTCTCAGTGCCCCGGGAGGTATTATCTCTGCAAATGGGAGACCTGAGCCACAGGGAAGGGAAGTTGAGCCAGGAATAGAACCCAGGAGTCCCGGCTCCCAGTCTGTTCTCTAACCACAAGACCGTCCTTCCTAGCCTGGGAATGCTTGATTTGTAGCATCAGGTGTTTGGCTCTTTTCCTTTCTTTTAATTTCACCTGAATAGATCTCCCTGCTGTTAACTCTGCTCTCTGACAGTACTGACAGCAATGCAGGGATTGCCAGACTGGGGCAGACCCAGGCCATTCTAGTTCACCATCCTGTGACCAGCACTAGATGCTGCAGAAGAAGGTGCAGGAAACCCCACAGTAGGCAGATGTGGGCTAATCTGGCCCCTATGAATGTCTCATCCTAACCCCTAATAGCTAGAGGTTGGCGTAAGCCCTGAAGCATGATGCTTCACCTCCTTTCCCAAGCCCTCTCTTAGTATTAGAGCTCTGGATATCCTGTGATCCACATAAAGGTCCAGTCTCTGTCTTGCTAAGTGTTTAGCCTCAGTGACACCTGGTGGCAATGAGTTCCACAGTCCAAAGACACATTGTCAGTCTCATTTTTCCTGAAGGAGGGGAGAAAGGGAAGAGTTCCTCTGGTTTAACTGAGTGATGACAGCCCCTCCCCTTTGTAGTAGTTCATAGAGCATGGTCTGTGGCCACAGAAACTGTACCACTGCTGAGGTAATAAACCTAAGGGCTTAGGAGTGTGTACCCCGCTTCCCGCAGACAGGTGATCTGCCAGGTTCCTTTACACCAGATCTTATTGCCCTCACTCCTGTGGGGGGCCCTTCCCAACCCTGGGCTTTCCCAGTGACTGTGCAGTGGGAGGGGACTAACGTGTGCCCCTCCCCAGGAACAGTTGCACCCTGCCACTCACCACCCCCATCCACCCTGGGGCTAGCCCAAAGTCCCAGCCCGCGTCCCTTCACCCTGAAGGCTTCGGGTGTCACACGCTGCAGCTGCCCTTGCAGATGATTAGCCGGGGACAATATGATCCTCTTAATCTAATTAGGATGGCAGTGAAAGAAGGGGGGAGGGGAGCGTTGGTGGCAGGGGCATTCGGGCGCACAGGCCATACATGATTACACCCAGCCGGTGGGCGGCCGGCCAGCCTGGAGCCATGAGAGCAAGATCTCCCGGAGCTCTCAGGGGAAATCAGAGCATCATGTTGCACTCAAACAAAGCCTGGGGAGGTCAGATAATCCTGTGATGCATGGTAATGTGCTGTTCTCACAGGGACTGCACCAGGCCCAGTGCTGACTCTTCCTGGGTGTCACAGTCACCTAGGCGGCAGAGTTGGGTAACGCTGGCTTCTGCTAGCTACCCCTATGCAGGGCACCTCAGCCCCCCTGCTATCCCCACTCCGGGGCCCACGCAGCTCTGCCAGTGTACTCCATCTCCTAGCTGCAGCGTCCCCTGCTACTCCAGTCCAGGAACCCCCCTTAGCAGAGGTTGCTAGCTTGGCAGCCTCACTTTCTGAAATGTCTGGGCCCCAGTGCGTGCTTGGCATCATCCAGAGGAACTGTGTATCCCTAGAACTGAGAGAACTGGCTGACAGCCACTGCACCTCCATGTGCCTCGCCCTGTCCTGCATCCTTGTCTGCCACCGCAGTCTCTCCCAGGCAGCGTGCAGGGTCCCTGCCCTGGCACAAGCAGCTGCAGGAAACTGCCCCTGTATCGTCCTAGCCAGAAAGCACCGGCATTGGGGTCCCTTAGTTCCTCTGAGGGCCCTTCTGGGGGCCACGGCCCTGCCCAGTGCCCTCTAATCCCCCTCCCCAGCCTGGCCTTGGAGCTACTGAAGCTCAGGCCCTCAGAGGCGTTACACGACGGGGTCACCGAACACCCGTCGGAGGCAGCTGCAGTGGGGCTGTCTGTCCATCTGTTTCCCTCTCAGTCGGAGGCTGCTGAGGGTGGAGGCAGGTCTCCGGGTGGTCTCTTCCCACCCTTGCATTTGAACACCAGTAGCTGGGGTCAGTGATCCCAGTGTCATCACACTGAATGCTGAGGGGTTGGGGACAACAGCCCCCGCTCCTGTCCATGGGGTGTCTCCGGGGCCCAGGGCAGTGGGTGGGCTAGGAGATGCCAGCCGAAGGGGTTAACAACCTGGCTTTCCTCCCAGCACATCCCAAAGCCGAGTGTCCCAGAAGCACCGTGTTTCTCCTGAGGCAGGGCGTTTGCAATGCGAGCCAGGCCCTGGCCCTGACTCATGCCATCCGGGCAGACAGCGCTCCCCTCGCTGGGCGCTGGGCGGGGTTCCCATGGCAGTGTGTCACGCAGCCCCCCAGGAAGTGGGGAGGGAGGGTTCAGCTCGCTACCAGGGACTGACAGGCAGCACAGAGAGAGCAGCAGGCTTGGCGCAGGGTCTGCTGTCTCCTGAGTGGAGCTGTCAGCAGCGCTCTCTTCCCCATCCCCCTCCTGCGTCCTCGTACCCTCCCTTCCCCCATCGCCCACAACGCCCGCCCCCCCCACACCGCTCCCCCCAGAAAGGTTGTTTGCAGAATGCCTGCAGCTTGACAGCATCACTTCGTGTTTCCATTCACCGTATCCCTGAGCCAAAACACCGTGTCAATCTCCGCTCCCATGCCAGGAGCAGCCGGGAGGCAGAAACCAGGCCCAGGCCCAGGGCATATGCGAGAGAGGCAGCAGAATCAGTCACTGTAACCTGTAGCAGCAGCTGGATCCCTGCCACACAGACTAGTGAGGGTCTCCCTGCTGGGGTGAGCGGGGGGTACCGTGTGTCGGGGAAGCCTTCTCCACACTGCCCCATGGTAAGCCAGGAGGTGTCGGGGAGAGCCGAAAGGCAATAGCAGAGGGGTTTTGTGAGCACCTGTCAGAGCGCGCGTCCCGCTCCATGCCCAGCAGCAGCGGGAGGAACCTAGGCATCTCACACAGCCGTGGAGCTCTGGCAGCTGCTCCGCACGGCCCAGCCCCAGGTGGAGAGCAAGCTGGGAAGATCCCTAGGTGACCCTCAGCCAACGGCTTGCTTGGGAGGGACAGTGCATGTCTGGGACAGGGGGCTCTGCGGGGGCCATCCTGGGAAGTGGGGAGGAGAGCTGGGAAGGGGGCACAGCTCCTTCACGCCCTCTGTGACATCCCCTCAGGACCTGTCGGCATGTCCCGTACAGGAGAGGTCTCCTCTGCCGGGGTGATGGGAGAGCTGCCCCCACGCCAGTGCGTCGGGCTCTTGCAGTGGGGGGTGAGGGAACTGCCCCACACGCTGACCTCCCAGCCGGCGATAAAACCCCTCGGCACCGCCGTCTCCAAGTGCTCCCCCGCTCCCGGAGCCGAACTTCTGGGGCCGGAGGGCTGCGGGCTCCCCCCCCGGAAGGAGGCCTAGAAGACCCTTGTCAGGGTCACTGGTTCCTAACCAGCCTCTCTCCCTCTCGTGCAGCCTCATGTCCTCCAGACGCTATTACTTTGAGCTCCTCCACAAGCAGGATGACCGCGGGTCGGACCACGTGGAAGTAGGCGTGAGTAACCTCTGGTTGGGCCCTGCCAGGCTTGCTCTGTGGTGCTGGCTTAGCCAGGCCCCGGCTCTCACGGCTGCTTACCTTCGGGGAAACACTCTGAGAGTCAAGAGCACGTCCCTGAGTGGCCTCCATCCCCTCGCTGGGCTCTGCTACTTCCCTTGCCAAAGCCTCAACTTGGATCTGTTCCCAGGGTGAAGGTTTGCCAGAGGACAATGGGAAACCTGCAGTTGAATCCCCCATTCCCCCACCACACCCCCACAACTTCAGCTCAGAGAAAACCTGTGAGAAGCCTGAGCTCCAGCTCCTACCATCTCTTCCCTGCAACCCTGGAGTACATCCCCCGCCCACTTACTTGTGTCTGAACCCTGTAGATTCCCCCAGGCAGATCCCTGACCTCCCCCCTCATCTACACTCCCGGGCGCCCTGTGGCTCCCGTCTCTCCCTGGAGCTTTCCCTAGAGATGATCCTCCCCCGTTGTTTGCGCACGTAGTGTGTTCCGGGCAGGGCATCCTCCTTGGACATGGTGCGTGACTGGCGTCTCTTCATAGCATTGCACTGTAATGCCCCAGCCTTCTCCGGGACTGAGACGCTACAGGGCATCAGGGTCAAATCTTCTAGCGGTGGCCCCCGATTCAGGGGGCTCGGTGTGAGAGGCCCAGAGCCTGGTTCTCAGCAGCACTGAGCACCCATGTCTCCAGCTGACGCCGGTGGGATCGGCAGCTGCTCAGCACTGCTGACGATCAGGTTCTCTGCATCTCGAGCTAGCCCGAAATCTCTGCAGGCCCGGGGTGGAGCAGGGAGGGGACTGCTGGAGCCCAGTGTGTCTTCAGGGACCCCCTGTCCCTGCCCCTGTCTCTCCTCCAAATTCTCAACTCCCACCTCATCCAGTTCAAACCCCGATGGCTGCAGAGGGCCTTTGCTGGAGCACATGGGAGGCTGGCCTGGCCCTGCCCAAGGGGGGGTCACTGAGTCCACAGAGCCCATTCTCCTCTTTCGATAAAGAAGCCGCCTAGCCAGCCTTGCTGCCTCAACGGGAGGATGCCACCGTGAGCTGTGTGTGCTGCCCTCGGAAGCGCTGCGTGCTGCCCGGGTCAGTCAGAGGGGGGCATCTCAGGCCTTCGGCAGGGATGTGAGTAAAGCTGTCGCTTGCCAGCCCCTCCCCAAAAGGCAAAAGGGCCCAAGGGATGGCTAGTGCAGACGCCCTGTTTGGCTGTGGCGTGGTCCCTGTGGGACAGGGTGGGACTCCTCCACTTGAGACCGTCCAGCCAAGCATGAGCGAAGCACTGGTGGAGGGGGATAATCCTGCCTTGGCTGGAGGGGATGGGAGGGTGCGCTCTAATAGGTCTCACCCATCTCTAGCCTCCGAGAGCCAGACCTCAGCGGGTGTCATTCAGAGACACCCCAGTGGAGTGACACCAGCTGAGCCTGTGATTCTAGCCTCCCTGGGTACGTTGAAGGGCCAGCCCCAAAGGGGTGTCTGCTCCCTCTGCCCATGCTATGAGCAGGCAGAGCGCGGGTCAGCGGAGTGCGTCTTCCCAGCCTGGCGCTGGGTGGTTTCTTCCCTTCACACGCTGGGCATCCGATGGACTGTCAGTGCTAACGGCCTTGCTCTGGCCTCAATGCTTCTCTCATAACGAACGCTAATTGAGCGTCCCCGGGAGAGGAGTCCTGGCTCCAGGACTCGGCAGTGAATCTGCCAGCCATTGCTGGCCGGACTGCCTCTCTCCTCTCCTGGAGACCATCTGTCATCCCTAGAGCAGGCATTCCCTGCCAGCTGGGCACCTCCCTGCGGCCGGTGGAGGAGGGGCGAACCCACCTCTAGGCACAGCCATCTTTTGTGCTGGCTCTGCGGGGCCACGTGCTCTCCTGAGGCCCTCGGAGCTGTTGGGGAAGGCCGGGCCTTAGCTAGGCAGTGACATGCGCTGGGGCTGGGAGCAAGGCAGGCAGGCACTTCCCTAGCTGCGAGGGCTGCTCTGTGCTCAGCCTGTGCCCCTCAGGTCGCCAGGCTCTGGTTCACACACACCTGCTGGCCTTGGTGCGTCCAGCCCTGGGTGCTGCTCTGGGCTTCCTGTTCTTGCCTTACCCGTGAGCCTCCGCAGGGGGCGCGTCCCCACATTCCGCTGGGCGTTCTCCAGGGCATCGGGGTGCTTGGGCTGCTTGTGGGAGACGGGGGTGTGCAGGAGCCGGAGCCATGCCGGGGGCTCGGGGCCGTACCTGTCAGTGGGAGACTGTGGAAAGCAGCTGATACAGTTGAGATCTTGGTCTGCTATGAGTTGTCGAGAAAGGTGGGGACGGACAGACAGACAAGCACCCAGCCAGCCAGCATCCCTTCCCCCCTGTCCTGCCATGGGAAGCCAGTGCTGAGCGAAGCAGCACTGTCTGCAGAACCACCGAGCAGTGTCTGTGCCTTCGAGTGACCTGCAGAGCGTTATCCGCAGTGGAGTCTCCCGAACGCCTCTCCTGCCCCATCACTTCGCAAGGTCTGGCCTGGGCAGGGTCCCAACAAGCGGGGGCAGATGGAAGCTTTGGCTGCGTCCCTGGGAGGCTGAATGACCCTCTCAGCTGGGCGTACGGGAGCCTATTGACCCTCCTGTGGAGCCTGGATTCCCCTTTCCCCGCCTCATTCAGCTCCGGGGCTGTGCCTCAAACCTGCCTCCCTCAGCCTCAGGGCTCCCTTCTGCCACCCTCAGCACCTGGCATTTGTGAGGAGATACAGGGCCCGATGGCAGCACTGACAGCTACTGACAGTCTCCCCTAGAACCTGCCACCTGGACATTTGGGCCCATCCATTTCCCCTGGAGCATGGCCTTTGCTCAGCTCACACAGGGCTGCTCTGCAGGGGCAGGAGAGAACAGGTGACTGCCTAGCAGAGGAGGAGCATTAAAGGCGACCTGCCAAGGGATTTTTAAAACGGAGCGGGTGCCCTTTTCCACATCTCTGCGGCATGTGAAGATGGCTGGAAAGGGCACTTTTCCCTGCTTGCTGTGCACCTGGGGAATGTCCGGAGTGTCAAATCCAATCTCCTGTCTTTGCTGGATGACCTCTTGGGCAACTCGGAGTGTGTGCATTGGGAACACAGGCGCCTCAATGGGCGCGGCTGGATGTTGGGTCTTCAGCAAAGGTTTCCTTTCTCCACAGTGTGTAATCATAGAATCCTAGAATCTCAGGGTTGGAAGAGACCTCAGGAGGTCATCTAGCCCAACCCCCTGCTCAAAGCAGGACCAATCCCCAATTTTTGCCCCAGATCCCAAATGGCCCCCTCAAGGATTGAACTCACAACCCTGGGTTTAGCAGGCCAATGCTCAAACCACCGAGCTATCCCTCCCCCACTATTATTAGCACTGGAGTTAAATGTGTGCAGACAAAACACCACAAAGTTCTAGACAGTCTGATAATCCCCCCTCCCTTCCCCCTCCTAGCGGCTCAGCTTTGGCACTTTTGAGGGCACCGTCTCCCTAAGTCTCCCAATGCCTTCAGCACAAGCAAGACTTTGAATTTCAAAGGGGAAAAAACAAGCGGGGTGGGCGGGAGAAAGCCTTTTGGGGAGGGAGATCCCTTTGAAGGGATCGTAAAGAAGGGAGGAACCCCAGGGTATCTTCCCCTTGGCAGTTCCCCACTGTACCGCTATGAATTTAGGGGCTGGTCCATACACAAAACTGCACCCATTTAGCTACAGGTGTGATCATTTAAAGTGGCTTTAGTTAAACCAATGCCCAAGGCTGCCTGGCTGCAAAGTGATATAAAACTTAGCTTAAGTCGATTAGAAAGGGGTTTAAATTCAACTGAAACAAGCCACTCACAGACAGCAATAGAAACATCGACCCAGGGCTCTGGGTCAACATAACAGCCTTGGTATAATCACCCATGTAAGTTGACGCAGTGCTGCTTCTGTGCATAGACAGGCTTGAAGAGAGGCTGGGGAAGAGAGCACTGTTTTAGGGCCTGAGCCAAAGCTTGCTGACTTCCGTTGGCTTTGGATCAGGTCCCAAGTTGGCAACTTCAGTAAGAGCTGTCTTCAGGAAAGGAAACGTGCCCAGCTGCTCAGTGGGGCTTCTGGCTCGTTTTGATTTCAATAGTTTAAGCACAAAATACTGTGCGGCTGACTTCCAAACTGATGTTTAATGTTGTGAGGGGTGCCCCTAGCAATGACTCGGTGCTGTTGGTCTCAGATCCACCGTGCTCCTTAAAAAGCTGAGCAATGAAACAAGAAACTACCTCCATTCAGGTAGCACCTTCATGCAAACTACGGCCGGCGGGCCACATCCGGCCCACCAGCCGATTTCATCCGGCCCTCGAGCTCCCGCTGGGGTGTAGGGTCGGGGGCCACTCAGTGTGCACATGCCACAGCTCCCGGAAGCAGCGACGTGTCCCCCTCCAGCTCCTATGTTTAGGGGCAGCCAGGGGGCTCCGTGCATTGCTCCGTCCGCAGGCGCAGAGCTACCTGGCCACGCCTCCGTATAGGAGCCGGAGAACGGACATGCTGCTGCTTCCGGGAGCTGCTTGAGGTAAGCACCACCAAGAGGCTGTATACCTGAGCCCCTCCCGTGCCCCAACCAACTGTTCCAGCCCCGATCCTCCTTCTGCCCTCCGAACCCCTCGATCCCAGCCCGAAGCACCCTTCTGCACCCCAAACTGCTCATCCCCAGCCCCACCCCAGAGCCTGCATCCCCGCCAGAGCCCTTAGCTCCTCCTGCACCCCAACCCCAATTATGTGAGCATTCATGGCCCACCATACAATTTCCATACCCAGATTGGCCCTCGGGCCAAAAAGTTTGCCCACCCTACACTAATGTCTTGTGCTCCCCCTGCTGGTGCTGCGGCACAGTTCACCATCGTCGCACAATTACACTGACATCTGTAGCTCAAGGTCTGTTAATTAAAAGATCCTGGTATCAACCCAGTTTGGGGGATCCATGCTTGGCAAACAGTAGAGGTGGGCAGGGGGCCCTGAGAAAAGTTGTTTTCTACTTTCTTGGCTAGTATTGCAAAAAAATACCAAGAGGGAAAAGGCAATAATGAAGAGCTAGCTCTCTGTGCTTGAGAAAGCCATCCCCTCAAACAGGGTTGGGTGCTTATTTCAGGAGGGCATCTAAAACTCTTTCTCCTCGAGATAAAATGTTCCTCGTCTCCCAGAGACTCTGAACAATCTCGTTTTGATACCTCTCTGCAGAGCCTTGCTCCTTTCATGGAGGCCGTTCCAGCTCTGTGGGCCGCTGGAGGTGAAATATTATTAGCCTTTTTAAAGAGGTTCAGTGGGTCTCTCTGCTCAGCTGCCACTTAGCCTGGCTTGATTAGCAGCACGGGGGAGAGTGTGTGTGTTCTAGAGATGCACACGCACGCAGTACAGGGTATGGATTAAAATTGCCTTTGTCACGCAACACAATAAGCGACTGAGTGGCAAGCCTGTTCCGTCGGAACTGTGATCACAAAGGTCTCTCTGCACATCTGAAATCCTGGTTCTGAGTCACAATCCCACAATGGGAGACTGCAATTTCCTAGTCACTAAAAACTGCCCTCATTTACACCAGAGTAAATCCGGAGATGTTCCTGTTGGCTTCAGGCGGAGGCTCCTGCCATTGTGGTGTATAAGGGCTTCTCTAGACTACAGAGGCTAGCATTAATGCAACCCCATTGGTTTGGCTGCGTTGGTGCGAAGCAGGGTGTGTGCACAGATGCCCTGGTAAATTACCAGTGAGTCCTACCTGTACAAGCCCAATCTTGGGGCAATGCATGTATGGCTACAGCAGTGCAAACACCCCAGCCGCCCCTGTACAGAGAAGGCCAGCGCGCCAGTCTGGAGTCACTCTGGATTTACACTGGTGTGTCCCAGGCCACAATCTGAGTTGGAGGGCATCAGTGCTGCACAATCTGGCGCAGCCACCTTGGAACGGCACCTCCCTGCTCCCCACACGGACAGGGCTGGGGCCTAAGGGCATGCTACCTGGCAGCTGGCTACTGGGAGTGGCTACTTCCTGCTACCCAGAGATGGGAAGGCTCAGATAGGCGCGGGCAGCAAGCTGCGGACTCGGCTTCCCTTGGGCAGCCTCTTCTCCCTGACAATCCCTGGCAGCCAGGAGAGGAGACACAGAGGGAAGAAGCGTTGAGCGGGCACCGGGGCAGCCTCTGGCTTCCTGCTTGTACACCAGACCCCTCTTGGGCAGGGGGGCCAGCGTGACACCCTCAGCCCCAGCTGTGATTCTCATTCTCTCTCTTCCAGTGGCGAGTGTTCCTTCCTAGCCTGAAGTTCGAGGTGATCGACTCCCCCTTCATCTCTCTCTACACAGGTGAAGCCATTCCCCAGCATGCTGCCCTCCCCCAGATCCACTTACCCTTCCTCCGCCGGGCATTTGGGGGTAGCGTGTGCCCAGAAGTGCATGTGCCGTGGGAACGGCAGGCTGCGCGTGTAACAGACGCGATCCCGCATCGGACCATGTACTCATGCACGTGTGCATGTGGGGGAGAGCGCGTAGCAGAGGGAGCAATGGGATAGGGATGGCCGCGGGAGCACGTGAGATTGGGCGTGTGCATGTGGGTGTGCCACGTGGACAGGCGTTGGCATGTCTGCGCCCGCATGGCTGGGTACAGCTGCAAGCAGGCCAGAACGTGGGAGCCGGTGGGAATTTTCTACACAAAATGGTTTTCTTGTCGACAAACGGCCTTTTTTCCGAAACCCAAAACTTCCCTCAAAAAATTGCCCCCCAAAATGTTCTGTTTTCCATTATGCTTTCTGCAACTCTGGCACTTTGTCTAAATCATTGCGGGTGTAGAGGTGTGGAGTGGTTCGGGGCTGGCACAGTGCTATGGGGTGGATCAGGGCTGGGGGAGTGGGGTGTGGCAGGGCAGGCGTGGTGCTGTGGGGCGGATCAGGGCAGGCATGGCGCTATGGGGTGGATTAGGGCCGGGGAAGTGGGGTGTGGCAGGGAAGGCGTGGGACTATGGGGCGGATCAGGGTGGGCACAGTGCTATGGGACAGATCAGGGCTGGGGCAGTGGGGTGTGGCAGGGCAGGCGTGGCGCTATGGGGTGGATCAGGGCTGGGGCAGTGGGGTGTGGCAGGGCAGACGTGGTGCTGTGGGGCGGATCAGGGCGGGCACAGTGCTATGGGACAGATCAGGGCCGGGGCAGTGGGGTGTGGCAGGGCAGGCGTGGCGCTGTGGGGCGGATCAGGGCGGGCACAGAGCTATGGGATGGATCAGGCTGGTGCGGCAGGATGTCCTAGGGCAGAGCCTAGGCCTGGTGGCACGTGTCTGGGGAGCGGCGTGTGGCTGTGGTAAGATGGGAGCGTGTGTCCGTATGTGCTTCCCACAGAGGGCTGAATCGGAAGGAATTCCAGCTGTTGGCGCTTTTCCCCTCATCTTCCCCCAGTGCTGCAGCAAACCCTGCAGGCAGCCCAGAGTTAGCGGCGCCCGGCCGGCTGGTGCCGTCACAGGACAGATGCCAGCACAGTGACGGTGTCCTGCAGTGCTGGTTCCAGCCACCCCACCCTTCGCTACAGAGAGCCCAGCCAGGAGCCACCTCCGTGGGGCCAGCCGAAGAGCTGAGCTCAGGAAGGGAGGAGATGCCAGTGCCTGCCCCACCCTCTGATGCCCGCGGCCAGGCGGATTCCATTGACAGCCATGGTGGGACCCCTGCTGGGAGCGGCTTGGTCTCCCCTCCAGACTCACCCCCACCCTGGGGATGAGGAGAAGGAGCTATTGCCAGGCAGCCATTGCTTCTCAGCCAGTCAGGATCTGCCCTGTCTTTCCCACTGCTGGCTCTCAGCAAGAGGGCCCTGTCCCTGGACAGGACAGCCGATCCCAGAGCTCCTTGCCTGGGGAAAGGTGCCTTCCCTAGAGCTCCTGCCCTCACTCCTCCTGGCTTCCTAGGGAGACAGGGGAGCCGAGCAGCTCCTGGCCCAGGCCCTGGCCGGACATAAAGAAGAGCTCGGTGTAGCTCGGAAGCGTGTCTCTCTCACCCACAGATGTTGGTCCAGTAAAAGCTATTCCCTCCACCGCCTTGTCTCTAATATCCTGGGACTGACATGGCTACATGTATTTTCCACGGTATGCATCCGATGAAGTGAGCTGTAGCTCACGAAAGCTTATGCTCAAATAAATTGGTTAGTCTCTAAGGTGCCACAAGTCCTCCTTTTCTTTTTACGAACACAGACTAACACTGCTGTTACTCTGAAACCTACAACAACACTGATGACCTGTCTTGTAAGCAAGGATGGACGGTGTGGAGTTTACTTAAATCTATAGATCTTCTGCTCCCCCCACAACCCAGCCCGGCAGCAGGAGCCTCTTGATGGATAGATCCTGGCCCAGCTCTCCTTACATAAGGGGCTGGTAATTAAGTGTCCCCTGGAAGGGGTTGATAAGGCAGGAGGTGCAGATACACCTAGGATCGACGTGGAGAAGAGGGATGGTGGAGCAATTGGGATATCGACACAGGTGCCGGCGAGACAGATGGTGCACGCATGTATTTCCTCCTGCACGCTATCAGTCAGCATGTGGGTGTCCCCTGCCCCCGTGCTCCCTCCCTCCCCCACGGTTTGGGACTGCAGCCAGCCTGCGCTCAGAATGCAAGGTGGGAGAAGGGGGCAGGGTTGCGAAAGCGGGAGAGTTATTGAAGGGAAATGACTGATCGTGGAGTAACAAACCAGCCCTTCCTCCCTGGGTATGAAGGCTAGGACAGTCTCCTAGTGCAACAAACAGGCTGCCGCGGATCCACAGGTCTGGTGCTGTCGTACAGTCCTGGAACAGTCCCTGGTAAGACCCCTTCTTAGGGTCACACTCGTTCACTGGGGCAAGCCACTTGGCTTCACCACCACCTGGGACCGACCTGCAGCAAGTCCACCTGGATGGGACACCTGCCAGAGACTTGCACGCCCAAAGGGAGCAATGCACCCCCAGCTTCCTTATTCTGGAGTGACTCTCAGCCAGCGCTGTAAAAGCAGCAGGGTTTCTTAGATATCTGGAACACAGCATAGAAAGTCCTTTGTTAACATGGAGAACAGAAAGCTACAGCCTAGCCCATCTGGGTCAGACCAGAGCCCTCTGACCCCTCATTAGTTCCAGTCCAGAAGTGTCCCCTGCCACACTTAACAACCCACACTTAACAACCTCACCTGGCCCCTCCTCAGTCCTTTGTTCTCCAGCTGGTCACACTCAGCTGGGTTCCTAAGGAGGGTGGGCCATTCATGGTCTTTTGTAGCTAGGTGCCAAATGTCTGGGTGATTGGAGTGGCCATTGTCTTCTGAGATTCTCCATGGGCATGGTGACCCAAGCAGCTAGGCGTCGGTCACGCCTGTATCTCTGGGTCTCTGCAAGAAGTAAACAATCCTTTCCCACCGCCTAGTTAGCCACGCCCTACATAGGGGAAACTGGGGCCCACACACTAGTCATCCAAAATATTCTGAAAAATCCCCACTCCAGCACACAGGGCTCAGCTTGTCAGCAGCGTTTTCACTGCAGCTCTGACCTCGCATTACCTAGGGCGCCCCGGCTCTCTCTGGCTCCTGTAGTTAAACGCGTGGCAGGCAGGTGTGCTCGCCCCCGGCCATACGGCACAGCAGAAGTTTACACCTCTGTCACGTGGCTGGGATCCAGATCCACCGACCGCAGGGGCTGCAGGGCCATTTGTGTCGATAAAATATGGTCGCCTCAGGCCAATCCAGTCAGTAACAGACACACTCCGCCAGAGAAGGCAGGGTCACCTATCGCAGCCACCCCTGGGGGGGCTGAGATGCCTATCAGTCTCTTGGAACTAAGAGCAGCCAGTCAGGCCTGTACCAGATTCCTCCCACTGACCAGGAGGGGCAAGATCCCTGCTAGCATGCATCGAGGCATCATCCTATGGTACAGTTTCTGTGACGTACCCTGGTGGTGCCCAGCACTCACTGGCAGACAGCCTCAGCGGGTATTTCAACACTGGTCGCGAGTGGGAGTGACAATTCAGGGCTGAATGGCATCTGCACTCAGTGGGGAACGTCATTGTGGGACCTGTTTGCCTCTCAGATGAACAAGAAGTTCAACATGTGTTGTTCCAGAGCCACACAAGGCCAGGACTCCTGGGGCAGTGCCCTCCTACTGACTTGGATGAGCCTTCCCCTCCATCCCACTACTCCCCCAGGGTCTAGGGAAGATTTGTCATGACAAAGCATGAGTCATCCTCTTTGCAACCAATTGGCCCAGACAGTTTTGCTTTCCGGACTTCCTGCAAAAGTCAGCCCATCAGTATTCAGCCCTTCCTGGCTGCTAACTCAGGAGAACGGCAGGATCAGACATGCCAGCACGGACTCTCTTCTCCTTGCCATTTGGCATTTGGATGGTCATCAGACCTACAGCATTCATGTTCGCAGGCCATTCAAACTATTCTTAATCACAGCAGGGACGAGTCTACCAGAAAATGTTATCTAGCCAAATGGAGATGTTTCTGTACCTGGGTGCAATGGAACCAGCTATCAGAGCCAGCAGGTAGTCCTGCTATTTTAGCCCACCTCCTCTCAAGACATCAAGTTTTTCTGTTACCTCGCTGCAGGTCCACCTAGCAGCAATCAGTGCATTCCATCCGGCAGTAGATGGCTACTCTATTCTTACTCACCCAGTAACAACCAGGTCCCTAAAGGGTCGGCCTGGGACCTTCCCACCGGTAGGGGAGCCAACGCTTCAGTGGGACCTCAGTCTCTTACTTTCAATGCTTACGAGGCCACCTTTGGAACCACTGGCCACATGCTCAATGACCCACCTGTCTCTGAAGGTCGCCATGACATTGGCCAGGAAAGTGGGTGAGCTGGGGCCCCTCATGGCTGACCCGCCATATGCTAATATTCGTCAAGTGAAGGTATCCCTGCACCTCCGTCTGAAATTCATCCTGGAGGTAATTTCCAAGTTCCACATAAGCCAACTGATTCACTTACCGATATGCTTCCTGAACCTCCAAGAAGGAGAGGAGACTTCGCCCCCTCCGTGTCAGGCGAGCACGGGCATACTACCCGCAAAGAATGACACCGGTTAGAAAATCAGCTAGACTATCTGTCGCTCTAGCGGAACGAGCCTGGGGACAAACGATGCCTGCTGAGAGACTCTCTACGTGGATCTCTGGCTGTATCCTCCTTTGCTATCAGGTGGCACATCTCCCTCCCCCCCGGACAAGGCGAGGGCCCAGTTCACTAGAGCTCAGTAGCATCTCCTCGAGAAGCGCCTATGCTGGACATTTGTAAGGTGGCCAGAGGGTATGTTATGCCTGGGGCCTACCCTGGGGAACTGCATTGCTCCAGACATCTCAACCACCGGCAGGAAGGAGTGTGAGGCGGCAGGGGCCCGGGTGACGGCGCCAGTGGAAGCCTCTGGACCAAGGGGCGGGGTTGGGGCAGGGGGATCAGAATGGGGTAGGGGGGTGGGGATGGGGTGGGATTTGAGGGGCAGTGCTAAAACTGCAGGTCAGGAGGGATTAGCCTGGGGTATAGTTTGGGGCCGGTGGGATCAGGATTGGGATGGGATGGGGTTTAAGAGGCAGCGCTAAAGCTGCAGATTGGGGGGGGGGTGTCGGGATGGGGTGGGGCAGGGCGGGGGGATTGGGATGGCTTCGAGGTGAAGGGATGGGGATGGGGTAGGGTTTGAGGATCAGTGCTAAAGCTGCAGTTCGGAGGGGATGGGGATGGGGTGGGGTTCCGGGCGGGGTTGGGGGGGGGGGGGGGGATATCGGGGTGGGGTGGGTTTGAGGTGAAGGGATCGGGATGGGGTGGGGTTTGAGGATCAGTGCTAAAGCTGCAGTTCGGAGGGGATCGGGATGGGGCGGGGTTCCGGGCGGGGATATCGGGATGCAGTGGGGTTCGGGGCGGGGATATCAGGGTGGGGTGGGTTTGAGGTGAAGGGATCGGGATGGGGTGGGGTTTGAGGGTCAGTGCTAAAGCTGCAGTTCGGAGGGGATGGGGATGGGGTGGGGTTCCGGGCGGGGATATCGGGATGCAGTGGGGTTCGGGGCGGGGATATCAGGGTGGGGTGGGTTTGAGGTGAAGGGATCGGGATGGGGTGGGGTTTGAGGGTCAGTGCTAAAGCTGCAGTTCGGAGGGGATGGGGATGGGGTGGGGTTCCGGGCGGGGATATCGGGATGCGGTGGGGTTCGGGGCGGGGATATCAGGGTGGGGTGGGTTTGAGGTGAAGGGATCGGGATGGGGTGGGGTTTGAGGGTCAGTGCTAAAGCTGCAGTTCGGAGGGGATGGGGATGCGGTGGGGTTCGGGCGGGGAATGGGATGGGGGGGTTCGGGGCGGGGATATCGGGGTGGGGTGGGTTTGAGGTGAAGGGATGGGGATGGGGTGGGGTTTGAGGATCAGTGCTAAAGCTGCAGGTCGGAGGGGGAGGGGATGGGGTGGGGTTCCGGGCGGGGATATCGGGATGCGGTGGGGTTCGGGGCGGGGATATCGGGGTGGGGTGGGTTTGAGGTGAAGGGATCGGGATGGGGTGGGGTTTGAGGGTCAGTGCTAAAGCTGCGGGTCAGAGGGGATCAGGATGGGGCGGGGGGATTGGGGTGGGGTCAGGGCAGGGGGATGGGGCGGGTTTTGGGATGCAGGGGATGGGGTTTGAGGGCAGCGATAAAGCTGCAGGTCATGGGGGATTGGCATGAGGCCTAGTTTGGGGTCGAGGGATTGGGGTGGGGTGAGGAGGTTTGGGGTTGGTGCTAAAGCTGTGGTTAGGGAGGGTCCGTATGGAACATCTCTGTCTGGCCCCATCACCCAGGAGTAGACGTGGGATCATTAGGTGCTCCCACCCGCAGAGCATGACCAGTTGGCCCTGGGCCTGGCTCAATGGGAGCTGAGTCAAGGCCTGGGGTCACTGTGGCCTTTCTCCTCGTTCTCCCCTTCAGACGAGTCCCCTCTGAAGATGAACCACGTGGCTCACATCCCTCAGTCCCTCGCCAGTCACGCCGGGAGCTACCTGTGGGAGGCACAGAGGGATGAGCACGGGGCCGACATGCTCAAACCTGACCCCAGAGACACCTTCTTCCTCAGTAAGTGGGGCAGGGGAGCGTGAGGAGATTGGGGCTGGGATTTAAGCTGGGAGAGGAACTGTTAGTCTGTTCAGAGAAGGCGAGGAAATGAGGCTGGATAGGATCAGGTACCCAGGGACCCCCTGTGTCCCTTCAGCTCCATGCCCTGGTGGCTACTCACAGACCCAGGCTGGGCTATACGGGATGGGATGGGATGGGCTATAGGGGCTGGTGTGGGCTATAGGGGTTAGTCTGGACTGGCCGGTAGGGGCTTGACTGGGTGGTCTCCCAGGTTGTGTTGGGCTATAGGGGATAGGATGGGCAGTTGCCCAGACTGTGATGGGCTATGGGGGATAGGATGGGCTGGGCTGGCCTATAGGGTGTGAGCTGGGCTATAAAGGTTAGGCCGGGCTGGGTTGGGCTGGACGGTTGCCCAGGTTGGGTTGGACTATAGGGGATGGGATGGGTGGTTGCCCAGGCTGCAGTGAGCTATAGGGGATAGTCTGGGCTGGGCTCGCCTATAGGAGCTGGTCTGGTCTATAGGGGACAGTGTGGGCGGGGTCAGTCGTCCAGGTTGGGCTGGACTCTAGAGGGCCATGTGGGTTTTCTCTGCATATGGGGGTGGCTGAGGGCCCCCCACGCAACACAGACGAAGCCCTGACTTCCTCTTGCCCAGCTCCCCAGATCGAGGCATCCCGCGTGGAGAACGTGCTGGTGCCCTGCGCCTACAGCCCCACCTACGTGGTGAAGGACTTCCCTATCGCCCGCTACCAGGGCCTGCAATTCGTAAGTGTCCAGCTCAGCCATGTCTCCACTCCCCTTCCCACCCCTCGCCCTGTGGGGGTCACTGGGAGACCCATGTGTCTGTGCCCCCAGGACGGGCTGCAGGGCCTGCCCGAGGCAGTGGAAAACCTCCCATTGGTTCTGGGGCTCTGGACCAGGCCCATGGGCACAGCTCCTCCGGCCTCCACCACTCAGCCCTGACTAAGGCAGCCGTGGCCAAGCACAGGTTGGCAGAGCTGCAGCACGGGGGGGTCGGGGGTGCGTGGAGCAGCCATGCCACGAGGGCCCCTGTTCCGTATCCTGCCGGCTCTGCAGTCACTACGGGCTCCCAGTAACTCTGCTGCGGTGTGGGAGGCTCCCTGCGCCAGCAGAGCGCTCAGTGGGGAGCACCCCTCCCTCGGCTCGCCCACCGACCGGCTGTGACGCGACCCCTGGCGCCCCTTGCAGCCTGGCCGCCTTCTCCTCACCCACGCAGCAGCTGATGGGCTCGCTCTGCTGCCAAGGAGGCTGGTAGAAGAGGGGTCTTTGCTCTCTCTCTGTCGAATCTGTCGGTGCTTCTGGGGACTGAAATGAGATAGGCTGGCAGAGGGGTGGGGCTCTCTGACACACAGGGGAGGGCACCGTCCAATAGGGTCCCTTTATAAAGACCCCTTTACGGCCCTCCAGCCCTGCCCATTAAGTCCCCCATCTCTCACCTGTTCCAGAGGTGCCAGGCCCCTGCCAGTCCTCCCAATGCACGCACCAGCTGGCTCCACGTGCCTGCTGCTCCTCTGAGGCAGTGCCCATCCAGGCCCTGTTCCTGTCTGGCACAGGCAGCTGCAGTGCTGGCGAGTCATGACACCAACCCTGAAATGGGCCCTCTCCTTCCAGTCCCCTCCCCTGCCCCAAGCTGGCTCTAGGACTCCTCAATGGAGCCAGCTGAGCGCTGGCCTGGCAGACGCCATAGAGGCAGCTCGGGCCGTGGGCTGATGAGCATCAGGCTTCTCTGCCAGGAGACACCACAGTCCAAGAAGCTTGCGCCAACAACCTCGCATCCTCAGAGCCCTCACCAGGCGCGCCCACGCCTGGACCCCCTCTCTCCTGCCACCCCCGGGGGACGCTGGTTGTGTGCGTACCTCGCCAGGCCCTTGGAGTGCACTCTTGGTGACTCCTCTGCTTGGCTCCCCAGGTCTACCTCTCGTTCGTGTACCCCAACGACTTCACCCGCCTCACCCACATGGAGACGGAGAACAAGTGCTTCTACAGAGAGTCCCCCCTCTACCTGGAGAAGTGAGTGGGGGGGGGTGGGCAGGGAGGTTCAGCGGGGGCCCTCTGCTGGCACTGCTGCTAAGGACAGAGAGAGCCCCTGGGCATAGGGCTTCTTAGTGCCAGGACAGGGACAGGTGCTGGCAGGGAGGAACCAGACACTGAGCCTTGGCCCTGCTCTGCCAGGGGCTCAGCCAGGGTGCTGAGGCGGCCTGGGCCTTCCCACAGGGTGGTTGAGACACGGACCCTGTTTCCTAGGGAACCAGACTGTACCCACCAAGCCCATTCCTCAGGCTCTGCATCCCGTGCCAGGCTCCTTTCCAGCCAGAAGCCTTCCCGCCCCATGAGCCAGCTCAGGAAATGCCAGACCAGGGGCAGATGCCCACTTTTCATCAGCTCTGCCCCTCCCTCCCCTGCATCCCCGCAGGGTGCCTCGCCAGCAACAGGGAAGCATGTTTCCTCTACCAACCTATTCACAGCGAGAGATTGAGAGGAGAAATGTGGGGGCCACCCAGTGTCTGAGCAGCCCATCGCTCTGGGCTCGCAGCGGTGGGTGGGCAGATCAGGCCTCGCCCCCGAGCCCCAAAGTAAAACGAGTCTGGGGATCTCAGCTCTGGTCCTGCCGGGTGAGACGATATGGAGCTGAAGAGGTGCCCTGGTTTAGTTTGGTTTGGTTTGGTTTGCCAGAGGCTGGGCCAGTATCAGTGCAGCTGTGTGCACACGTCTCAGCAAGGTTGTCCTTTGCTTCTTTCCCCGCCCCCCAGGTTTGGCTTCTACAAGTATATGAAGATGGATGAGGAAGAGGAGGATCCTCGCCGGAGAGCCTTTCTCTTCCTGAACTCGGACAGTAAGCAGCCCTCGCACGCCCAGCCAACGCCGCTTGCTCCGGTGCGCCGTGCTAGTCTGTCCTGCTGCCCGCTAGCAGGGATGGTGCTTCACGGCCTGGCATGCCCAGGCTCTGTGCTTCGGCGCTGGAGCCCTGGTTGCTGAATTGGGCACCAGACGGGTGGTGGGGAGGAAGTTGCTAAGTCAGGCAGGACTTGGGAGGATCACAACACTGAAAGGAAGGAGTGAGCCCACTTAGACAGTCAGTGTCCCTGGGGCAAGGCCGTGTGGGAATGGAGACTTCCTGTCCCTCTCCCAGCAATTCTGGACACTGGTGACTGAATCTGTGTTCCCATTTATTGATTGCCGCGCCACTGAATCCTCTCGGATTCACGGCTTCGCCTTGCCAGCCTCCAAGTGCTGCTCACCCTGTACACTAGGGCCAGGATTCCTGCTCTCTGCCACCTCGGGGCGCTTGGACCTGTGCCCCCAACACGACCCTGGCAGGATTCCCTCACCCTGCTCTCTTCAGGCACTTGGACCTGCACCCCCAACACACCGCAGCACAATTCCCTCACCATGCCCCCTCAGGGCGCTCGGACCTGCGTCCCCAACTCACCCGTGGCAGGATTCCCCCTCCCTGGTGCCTGAATTGGGCACCAGACGGGTGGTGGGGAGGAAGTTGCTAAGTCAGGCAGGACTTGGGAGGATCACAACACTGAAAGGAAGGATTCCCCCTCCCTGCTGCCTCGGGGCGCTCGGACCTGCGCCCCCAACACACGCCTGGCAGGATTCCTGCCCCCTCGGGGCACTCAGACCTGTGCCCTCAACACACCCCTGGGAGCATTCCTGCCTCCCTGCCCCCTCGGGGCGCTCGGACGTGTGCCCCCAACACGTCCCTGGCAAGATTCCCTCACCCTGCTCTCTCCAGGCGCTTGGACCTGTGCCCCCAACACACCCTGGCACAATTCCCTCACCCTGCCCCCTCAGGGCGCTCGGACCTGCGCCCCCAACACACACCTGGCAGGATTCCTGCCCCCTCGGGGCGCTCAGACCTGCACCCTCAACACACCCCTGGGAGCATTCCCCCTCCCTGCCCCCTCGGGGCGCTCGGACCTGCACCTCTGAGCATGATCACGTTGTGGCTGACTTTCCCAGCATGCTCCTTGAGCTGGCGGTGAACCCCTGTGTAGAACTGTTTCCATCAGCCCACTGGAATCAATCAGTGCAGCTGGAAAAGAGGGTTTCCTGCACATGCCTCTGGGTCTCCTCCCCTTGGCTGCACCAAGGGCCTTTCACTCGGTCTCGGCAGCCTGGCTGGGCCGGTATTGGGTCCCCATCTCATTGTGGGGGAGGTTGCACTGGCAGCGCCACGCCGATCTCCACCCACGAACGCGCACGACCCCTCCTGAGCTGTGCTGTGTGTTCCCAAGAGCTCTCCCTCGTCTCACCCACACATGCGTCCTCGGCATCCGGAAGGGAAAATCAGCACCAGGCCAAAGCTGATTTCTGCTGAGACTTAATTGCCTTAAAACAACGTCGGTCATTTCCTTCCCCTCCAAGTCCCTTTGTGAGTGCAGGGTGTTAATCAGAGTAACTCAGAGCTTCGCTGCCCCTTTGATCTGCAGCTTCTCCAAGTGAGTTCACCGAAGAATTCCGTGGCTGGGAGCAGCATGAATCCTCCTGCCCAACTTTCTGTGGGCTGTGCCGGGGGTAGGATTTATATACCCAGGGGTGCCAGGGCCCTCCCACTCATCTACCTCCTGAGCAGCAATCGACCAGGAGCTCTCCCCAAGGAGGAACTGCCCTGTTCTGAACGAAGGCAGGACGGTCTGTGAAATGGGCACAGGGTTGGATGGGAGGGAGGATGTCATCCGACTTCTGCCGCGCGTTTGCTGTCTGCTTTTGGGCCAGTCATTGCATCTTTCAGGCTCAGTTTGCCCACCGTAAAATGGAGATAATAATCCGTATCCCCAGGGGGGGTTGTAAGGGCTAATTTGTACATGTCTGTAGAGCGTTTTTGGGATATACCAAGTGGTATAAAATGTAAACTCTTTGGGTGTGTTCACATGGCAGCGAGTCTCCAAGCCCGACTCTACAGACTTTACCGCTGCAACGCTAAAAATAGCAGTGTAGATGTTCAGGGTTGGACTGGAGCCCAGGCTCTGACACCCGGAGAGAGGGATGGGTTTCAGAGCCCGAGCCGGGATATCTACACAGCTGTTCGTAGCACCACACGGGGGCCCTGCGAGCCCAAGGCTGTAGACCCAGGCTCTGAGAGTCGCTGCTGGGGTTTTTTGCTGTGTAGACAGTCCTGGCCTCAAATGTCTCTATTGTAGAGCTGAACAGTGCCCAGCACAGTGAGTCCCTGATCTCAACTGCAGTGTCTAGCTGCTACCATCATACAAATCGTAAATGAGCATCATAAAAACCTTGGGGGGTGGTAGTAGCATTGTGTTATCAAAGCTGGGGATGGCAAGGCAAATCAAGCTGTCATGTAAGCACATGCTGTGTAGCCTGTAGTGGGTCTTCCGCCAGGGCTGAATTCGGTCCAGCGTGCTTGTCTTAACCATGCAATCACTGGTGTAAATCAACACCTGTGAATTGCATCATTTTATCCTTTGCTTTGTTCTGCTTTGGCTCTGTTGCTGTTTGATGCCTTTGTTTGTCTGTCCAGCTTGGCACAAATGGACCCCTGAGGCAACTGTACACCTTGCACTCCTCATTTATAGCACGTTGCTAACAGACTCGTCGACTTTAAGGCCAGAAGGGACCTGATCATCGAGTCTGATCTCCTGCAGATCGCAGGCCACAGAACCTCACCCACCCACTCCTGCAATAGCCCCTAGCCTCTGGCTGAGATCCAGAAGTCCTCAAATCTTGATTTAAAGCTTTCAATTACTGACAATCCACCATTTACTCTAGTTCAAACCACCAAGTGACCCATGCCCCAGGCTGCAGAGGAAGGTTAAACCCTGCTCCCCATGCCCATCTGACCTGAGGGAAAATTTCCTTCCTGACCCCAAATATGGTGATCAGTTAGACCCAGAGCATGTGAGTGAGACCCACCAGCCAGACACCTGGGAAAGAATTCCCTGTAGTAACTCAGAGCCCTCCCCATCTAACCTTTCACATGTGCCCATGGGGGCGCGAGGGCTAGTTCATTAGCTTGTGGAAACATCTTTCAGATCCTCTGCTGGAAAGACTGAAACACCATTGCAGTTATTTAGTCCAGTAGCAAAATCAAGACTCTCTCCCTTGGTGATGGGGTTGAAACAAGGGAACGGAGCCGACACATCAGAGTTGCTGCCAGTCAATCCAAGAACCAGAGATTGATACCGCTGACAAATGGACACAGTATTAGTTGTTGTTATGATTTATTACTTGTCTTAGGGGAGGCCCCACCTATGTTCAGGGTGTGCTGGGTGCTGTCCGTACACCTAGTGAGACAGTCCCTGCCCCAGTGAACTTACTGTAAGCAGACCAATCAAGGGTCCAATCCCATATTCCTGGCTGATTTGAACATCCCAGGGTCACTTCTCTGGCCAATAAAACATACCTGAGTAATGCTAACAAATGAATAACACCTTGCTCTTCTCTAGCCCTATTCAGCAGGAGATCTCAAAGTGCTTTCCATTCTGTAATGTTTTCATCTCTGTGCAGTGGGGCAGTGCTCTTGTAGGGGAACGGAGGCTAAGTAACGTGCCCACGGTCACGCAAGGAGTCTATGCTGGAGCAGGGAATTGCACGCGGGCCTCCCAAGTTCGAGGATAGCGCCGCAGCCACTGGACTGTCCTTCCTTGTCGTCCCAAGAAGGGGCTGGATCCTGAGCTTCTTTGTCAGCCAACTGAAGCCCAGGGACTGCAGGGTTTGGTGGAACGTGAGAACACAGTCCCACCTGTGTGGGTAGCTAGGCAGCCACCCCCTCCCCCCCGATCATGTTCTCGCAGAGCCCCCACAGCAACCTGGCTGTTGGACACTGGCTGCCAGGATCAGTGCCTCCCTGCACGGGCTCCACGTTTTAAGATGCAGTAATAATTTGTCTGCTTCGCTAGCTGGGTGGGGTTTGATGGCCTGCAATGCGCATTGGCTCAGACTAGAGGGCTTGTTGGTCCCTTTTGGCCTGAAATGCTCTGGCTGTGAACCACTGCTGGGGGTTATTACACTGCAGGGATCTCATGTGTTTTTCTGGCCTACCCAAGGTGTGTTTGCTTTGCAGATTTCCTGGAAGAGGAGGAGGAAGGAGCGGACAGTCCTGAGCCCACAGACCCGCCTCCCGACGCCAAGGAGAAGAGCCCCAGGGGGCCGAGCCCACCCCAGGGCACTGGGACCAAAGGCAAAGAGATCCCTCTCGCTGCAAGGGATTACGGGGGCGACGTAGACTACTATGCTTTCCGCCACCACCAACAGCCAGTTCATGATGAGGGTGCTGCACCAGGGCAGCCGCAAACCCAGGATGTACGCAACCGGGCCAGCCGCAGCTCCACGGCCACAGCCAGGGATTCCCAGGACTATGAGAACACTCCCCCTTTACGAGAGCAGACCCTGGTACAGGGGCGCTCCCTCAGCTGGGTGCTCAAGGAGCCGGAACAGGCGAACGCCGGGGAGGAAGACAAGCTGGGGCTGCTGGCACCGTCAAGGAGGGGCAGTGTCCTAAACCGCCAACCCCACCTCTCCGTGCCCATCTTCGGGGGCAAAGCGAAGCCACAGGGCCCAAGCAGGCTCCTGGTGCCCGTGGGGGAGAAGAAGGCTAAGAAGGAGGCCAAGAAGCCCCATGAGAAGGTGTATGTGACCCGGCTGCAGCCTGGCAAGCGCAAGACCACAGTGCAGGAGGCCACCTTCCCCAGTGTCTTCCTCCACCCTAAGCCACTCAGGAGGGTGCACCTGAACTCGAGGGCCCCCCAGAGGCGCTCCGCCCCCTCCACCAAGCTCCGCACCGTCCCTGGCCAGAGGGTGCCCTGGCTCCCGGGCAACAGCTCCAGGGAGACGTATCCCTCCAAGAGGAAGAGCCCCAGGGCCAGCAGCAGGAAGTGGGAGCAGCTGTACAGGCAAGAGGACCCCAAGGCTGTGAGCGAGCGGAGGACACGGCCCAGCGTACAGCCGCCACCAGCTGAGGGGCTGTTCGGCAAGGAGGCCCTGGAGGTCCCCACCGCCACCCCAGTCAGGACTGCGGCAGCGGCTGCCCTGGATTACAACTCCTCGGAGGCAGCCCTGTCAGCCGGGGTGCGGGTGACGTCCTTCCTGAGGATGTCGGAGGTGACTGCGTTGCAGCAGGAGGTCCCGGGCAAGGCCCAGGAGGAGGAGGAGGAGGAGCTGTCGGACTATAGCTACGAGAACTCGGAGCTGCAGCCGAGCTGGCTGGAGGACTCCATCAACTGGCAGAGGACGTTCAGCGTCAGCTCGGTGGACTTTGAGCTCCTGCGCTCCGACTGGAATGACCTGCGCTGTAACGTCTCGGGCAACCTGCAGCTGAGCGAGAGCGAGGTGGTGGACGTGGTGGCCCAGTACATGGAGAAACTCAACGAGAAGAATGGGGGGTAGGGAGAGAAATCGGGGTCGGGGGGGGTACTGCGCTTCTGCAGGGCATGCCACATGGAGCTAGGCCCAGGGCTGCCACCAGGGCCAGGGGGACCAGTGGGGCTAAGCTCTGCCCAGTCTTGCCCCACCCTGGGCAGGCAAGAGAGCAGGGTGGTCTCCCTGGTCATCCAGCCTTGACTACACACACTCCACTCCCCCAACAGGTCCTCAGCCCTGCACCTCCTGGGATGAGGGGGCACGCAGCCAGGAGCTTCCCCACCCTGCTCTCCCACACCACAGGGCCTCCCCTCTGGGAGGAGGGGGTGCTCTCCTGGCCTGGATGACACCTGGAAGGGTGGGAGCGGGGCTGCCCATTGTCCTTCAGCTAGCCAGGCGGCGGAGGGGGTCCCTGGTGTGGGGTGGGGGCCTGGGCCTCGCCTGGGAAGGTGAGAGCATCGGCGCTGCCCTCCCTCCAGGATCTACACCCTGCTGCGCATAGTCAACGTGGAGAAGCGGCGAGACACAGCGCGGGGGAACCGCTACCTGCTGGAGCTGGAGCTGCTGGAGCGGGGCCAGAGGACCGTGCGGCTCTCGGAGTACGTCTACGTCCTGCTGCACCAGGGCAGGCCAGACGACAGCACCAAGGCCAACCCCGAGGGGCCCGCGCCCCTGGCCACAGAGCCCCAGCCCAGCCCCTGGAGCCTGCTCTACGGGAAGCCCATCCTGTGCCAACCCCTGCGGCTCAGCTGGAGGCAGGACGTCATGGTGCACTTCGTGGTGCCAGGTGAGGGAAAGGGGTGTTATCCGCACCCTCCTCCCAGGGACCAAAGGTCCTCCCAAGCTCCCACCTGCACCAGGACCTCTGGGGTCATTCAGAGCATTAGATGGGCCCAAAGCCCAGGCCCCAGTGGGTGGCGGTTGGCTGCGTGGGGCGCACGGGCTGTGGCGGCTCATGGGATCATCCGGGAGGCCTGGTCCTCTTGTGCACACAGGCCACGTCTGCTCCTCCAGGGCTGCCCAGCAGCAGAGACTCAGGCCTGGTCTCTGCTAGGAAATTAGGTCAATATAACGACACCACTCGGGGGGACAAAAACCCAGCCCCCAAGCAACCCAGTTAAATCCACCTGGTACTTGGTGTGGAATGGTGTGGGGGGCGGTGTGTGGCACTTGGCCCTGGGAATGGGGAGTGGATCCCTGAGGTGCGGCTGGGGAGTCTGGCTCTTGGCCCTGGGAGCAGGGAGTCGATCCCTGGAGGGTGGCTGGGGGTCTAGCTCTTCACCATGGGGACGGGGAGTGGATCCCTGGGGAGTGGCTGGGGGTCTGGCTCTCAGCCCAGGGGATGGGGAGTAGATCCTTGGGGGGGGTCTGGCTCTCAGCCCCGGGGCGGGACGTGGATCCCTGAGGAAGGGCTGACCCAGGGGGTGTCTGCTTGTGTGGCAGTGAAGAACCAGGCACGCTGGGTTCAGCAGTTCATCGCGGACATGGCCGGCCTCTACTGGGACACCAAGGACACCAACTTCAATGTCATCCTGGTGGACTTTGAGAGTGAGGATATGGATGTGGAGAAGGCGCTGCGGGAAGCCCGGCTGCCTCGGTAACAGAGCAGGGAGCCCCAGAGCCCTTCCTCGCCGCTGTCCCTCCCCACCAGTGCCAAGCCCAGCACCTTCTCCTTGCCGCATCCCCAGCCCCACAGAAACGGGAGCCTGGGCCCAAGTGCCCCCCACCACTCCTGGCCTCATCTGTGGCAGACACGCACAGCAAAGCCCTCCAGCAGCTGGGCAAGGGAGTCCCAGGCAGCACGGAGGTGATGTCTCTCCTCCCTCCCAGAGTCCTTGCACGGCCCGAGGAGCTGAGCACAGAGCAGCAGCTTTGTTCCTGGTTTCCCTGGCGCTTGCGGAAGCCCGAGGCCCAGACGCTATGTATGCACGCCTGCTCCGGGGGGCTATCGCTGAGTGCCCTCCTCGCAATGAGCCTCCTCGTTCCACCCAGCCAGCTGGGTCTGGTCTCTAGCATCCCTGGCCATGGCAGTGAGACTGCTGCTCACACACACACACACTCTCGCTGCTGCTGTTGTTTGTGTCACAGGGGTGACCAGAGGCCCCCCTGAAGATCAGGGTCACATTGTGTCGGGGGGGGGCAGGGATAGCTCAGTGGTTTGAGCATTGGCCTGCTAAACCCAGGGTTGTGAATTCAATCCTTGAGGGGGCTGTAGCGGGATCTGGGGCAAAAATTGGGGATTGGCACTGCTTTGAGCAGGGGGTTGGACTAGTTGACCTCCTGAGGTCCCTTCCAGCCCTGAGATTCTATGATTCGAGGTGCCATCCAAACAGGCGGATAGACACCATCCCTGCCCCAGTGAGTCTGCAGGCTGGCTGCTTGCGGCTGTACTCATCTATAGTGTCGTGCATGTCTCCAACCCCACTGCCCTCCCTTCTCCTGTGCCTTTAGCCCCCAGCATCTTGCACCCACAGGACGCATTGCCATCCACAGACCTGGCACAGCAATCCGGTTTTTTTTCTGGAGACAGCATCCCATAGGTGGAGTGTGCCCCCTGCTGACTGGCACTGAGATGAGCCATGACCGTGATTACCCAACGGATGTGGGAGGGGACACCCCTGAACCTTTCTGGGTATTGAGGGTCTGGTTGATTAAGGGGGGATCTGCCCTGCAGACTGATACTGCATCAGTGCGCAGCGGAGCCAGGCAGGCTGCAAAGGGGCTAGCTGCTGTCCCCAAAGCCAGCTGGCTCAGCGGGCAAGCGGGGCCTTCGCGCTGGGTGGAGGAAGAAAGCCGTGTAGCTGCTAATAGTCTGTGCACAGAACCCCGTGGATGCCCTGCCTGGCTCCCCACACCCCCAGCCCATCTCTGGGCAGCCAGCGCTCCCTGTGCTTTCCCTCTTTGGAAAGCCCCTGCTACGCGAGTGTCTCCAGCAGTGGTCGGGGGGCGTGAGCCCACCTGACCATGAGTGTAACACAGCACCCCCAGGTGGGGGATGACATGGGGGGGGTTAACCCGAGACCTTTCAATCTAGAAGCAAGAGCCTTTGCTGCCTGAGCTAAAGAACCGCAAGGCTGTAATGGACGCTCAACCAGGGGCTACCGGCTAGAGGGGGACAGAGAGTCGCACTGTGTCAGCCTGCGAAAGGCTTCCTGGAGCTCAGCTGGGTTCCCTCGGCTCAGTGGCCCCTGGTACCCTCCAGACGATTCCCCGCCTGGAGACTCCCTGCGGTCGCTCAGCCCAGCAGTGCCCACTGAGCTCTGTCCCAACAAAGCCCACAGCTTGGCTCCCCTCTCCCTGCTGCCGCTGACTGTCCACGTTGTTCTCAGGTACCAGTACTTGAAACGCACGGGGAACTTCGAGCGCTCGGCAGGGCTGCAGGCTGGGGTGGACTCCATCGAGGTGAGAGACCGGCGGGAGGGCTCTGGCTCTCCAGAGCCGCTGGCCTTGTCCCGTCCTGCTCCCAGGGGCTTGCCGTGGGCTGTGCACCCTGGTCACGGCCTCTCTCTGCTCTTGGTTCCCTCAGGACGGACGCAGCATCGTGTTCCTGTGCGACCTGCACATCCACTTCCCCCTCAACATCCTGGACAGCATCCGCAAGCACTGCGTGGAGGGCAAGCTGGCCTACGCGCCCATCGTCATGAGGCTGGGCTGCGGGAGCTCTCCGCGGGACCCCAACGGTAACGCCCCCGCACACAGGTGCTCTCGCAGCGGGAAACGCACTGGGCTTTCAAATGCAGGGAGCCAGTGCCCCAGGAAGGGAGCCGCTAATGGACTGAGGCAGCTAGCGGTGCAGGGAGCATGGCAAGGCTCCTGACGCAGCCACGCAGCCCGGTGCTGCTGAAACCTGTTATCTGAGCAGCCTGCTGCTACCTAAAGTCTGTTCCAGTCCAGGCCGGGTGCTTTAAGGAGCTGGGCTACGCTGGTGTTAGAAACTCAGCATCTTCCCTGCTCCTCCTTAAACCTGCACGTCCTTCCCCTCTGCGATTACTGCTGTGCCCCAAGGCTGGGGGCCGGGGGGTGAGCTGGAATAATAATGCTGGGTGCTTCTTAAGGGAGGGTGGCGGACTACTCCTGGAGCCTTAACTAAGACTCACGCAGCCCCTGCAGGGAAAGTGTAGTGTCCCCCTTTCCAGTTACGGGGAGTGATCTGCTCAAGGCCTTACAGCGAGGCAGGAATTGAACCCAGGAGTCCTGACTCCTGCTGTAAATCCACCCAGCTCTGCCTCTTTAACTGACTCCGACCTCCCCAGCACTGGATTGTGCAGTCGCCCAATGTATGTGGAGGGGGGAGGCTGCTGGTTTGTTCAGATACAGTTTTCACCAGTGGATTTGCTGTTGCTTTTCCCCTTGTCCAGTGTGTAGCTTAATCCAGCACATTGTGTTAAGAGAGGCACACAGAGGCTGAGCAGCACTGTGACGGGGCACCCTCCGCCCCCATCGTCTTTGCTCTCACACAGTCGGCTCAGAGACCTTCCTTTCGAAGAGACCATCATGTTGTTTATTTACAGAGCCTCCCCTCACCACCTTCTACATCCTCACTCAGCCGTACTGTGTACAGAGCCAGTTTTCCCAGGGCTGGGGGTGGGAAGAGGTCTACCCACACAGAGAGCTCCCTTTATCAGACCCAGCTTGCCTTGCCCTGCTCTGCCGTCCTGGGCTCTTTTATCCACTCTCCTTGTTAATGGGCTAATTAGATCGTTAGCTGCCCGGTCCCAATCTGATCTGGTAATCAGCAACTCCTCGCTCAGGCTGTCCCCAGGAGCCTAACTGATTAAACAGTGACCAGAGTGCTCTGCCAGAACTCTGCCACAAGGACTAATAATCTTTGTCTCTTATCTAGCACTGGATCCCCTTAGATCTCACCGTGCTCTTCAGAGGAAGGGATCAGCTATCGTTTGACAGATGGGGAAACTGAGGCCCACCGGGGTGTGGTGATTTGCTTTGGGGATCATAACCATGCCTCTTGCTGGCTTTCAGGGCATAGTTCTAGCGTGCTAGCACGTTCCGATGCTGGTATTATTTATTTAGGCTCCGCTTCAGCAAGCCCCCAGTGCAGGAGCTTTAAGCACCCAAATTCTTACTGACATCAGTGGCACTATTCATGTGTTTAGTTAGGCCTGCGCGTCAGCCCCGTGCTGACTGGGGGGCCGCAGCGCTGTGGTTTTATACGGAGGTTGAAGCCTCTCTCGGAACAGAAAAATGAATCTCGGTCCCAAAGAGCTCGGAGTCATGAGCCTCTGTTTGACTTCAGACTGTCTGCAAATCGAGCCTCTTTAAAGTGTCTCCCATCGGGCACCCCAAGTTACCAGCCCCTTCTGAAATTCCTGGCCTAAATGCACAACCCAGCCCAGCCCTGGCACCGGGCGTGGTCATTGGTGCACAGAGACTCTCCGATCGGAGGTGTTCTTAGCGGCGATCTGGGGGAGACAGAGGGGCTGGGCATATGTTGTTGGAGGGGGGCTGTTCTGAGCAAAGGGGGCACCTTGGTGGGAGTCGTGGAGTGAGCAAAGGAGGCAACGGGGACAGTCCAGAGAGGGGTTGGGGCTGAGTTCGGGGAGCACAGGGGGGGACGAGCGGGGAGAGGGATGGAAGCAGCGCTGTGGCAGATGAGAAGCTGCCTTGACCGGACTGCGGGGTGGGTGGGTGGGGGATTGAGAAGCCTGCAGGATGGCAGGCAGCCTGTGTGTGCAGGGAGCCTGGCGCTGGATCCCAACGTAGGGAGCAGCGGGTCAGCTGGTCAGCGGGCTGGAGCCACACAGCGGCCCTGCCCGCACGCAGGCTTCCTCAGCCTATTTTGCCGCTACGTTCCCAGGGAGTTGCTTGGGGGGGCAGGGCTCATCACCAGTAAAAATCCCAGCTGCTTGAGGTCTACCTGCCTCCTTCCCGCATGGTGCTGACCACCCCAGCTGCTCAGGGTCTGATTGGCAGTGGTTTCCTCCGGAGCCTCCCCTGGGGAGCTAGCTGGAGCAGCGCTCTCCCTCCTCTGTCCCCGCAGCACGCCTGCCCCTGCATGCTGGCTGGGAGCTGGGGGGCTGGTTTGGTCCCATGCCGTACGTTTGGCTGAGTGTGAGACAGCTCCTTTAAACTGGATCCCTCTGGATCTCGGCAGCTGCACTCTCAGGCGAGTGCCCGCACTGGGAGAGAGGCGGCTGGGTGTTTAGTGCATGGCCAGCTTAGCCTTTCTCCTTCCACGGGGGTTGCATGCATGTAGCAGTGCCAGGCTGGATCCGACCCGCAGCCCACCCACATCAGCGTCCTGCCTCTGACAGGGCCCAGCACCTGCTGCTTCAGAGGAAGGTGCAGCAGCCCCGCAGTGAGCAGTTAGCCGAGTGCCAGGACCCGCGAACTCAGGAGCTCGTGTGCAAGGATGGGACTGCAGCCCCACCTTCAGGGAGACCGGTTCCCTCTATGGGACCGGGATCGGAGGCCTCTCCGTGCTTGCGTGCCACTGTTGGTTTCCAGCAGAGGGCAGCGTGGCTTCAAAGGATGGCAGAGCCTGGAGGAATCTCGGTGCTACCGCCTGGCTGGGCTTTGGAGCAGCCCCGCTCCTTGGCCTCCTCTCCCCTCTTGCAGGGAGCCCCCTTCCCGCCTGAGACCTAGCGAGTCACCTCTCTTCCCTCCTTCCTCAGGCTACTGGGAGGTGAATGGGTTCGGCCTCTTTGGGATCTACAAGTCGGACTTTGACCGCGTCGGGGGCATGAACACGGAGGAGTTCCGAGACCGCTGGGGCGGGGAGGACTGGGAGCTGCTGGACAGGTACGGCTGGTGGGGCCTCCCGCCCAGCGCCTCTTCCCTGCCAGGGGGAGCTGCGTGCTGGCTGGGCATGGAGACTGGCCTAATGCCCTCCAGACACACGTGGCTGATTCAGGGACCTGGGAGAGAAGATGCTGAGGGGGCGGGGGGATTAACCCCTCTGAGGCCCTATGAGTCTGAGGGGCTTTTTCGTGGTACCCCACAATGGAGGGGGGCTGCAGGGTGTTTCTCGGTATGGAGCTTGGCGTGGGCAGCCAGGAGCAGCAGGTGCACTAGCAGGAGAGACAGGACTTGTGTGGAACAAATCTGCTTGAAACATTTCCAGTACATTTTTCCTTTAAAAGGGGGGGAAATAGATCTGTGCTCTCCCCTTTTTTCCCTCCGCGCTGACATATAAATTACTCGGAGGGCGGTGGGGAGGGCACAGCATCTGGAGACTTCGGAAAGGCCAAGTTGGGGCCTTTCTGGCTTTGTCAGAGGACTCCTTGGAGTCTCGGAGATGGACATTGTACTGAGCGGGGAGCGCTGACTGTACCAAAGAGAGCGTTCCTCCGACGTGTTCCTGAGGTGTTTGAGCTCAATGGGCGTTAGCAAACGCAGCCCCAAGGTCGTGCGCTGGTGACGCTGAAGGAAAGCCTCTTCCTCTCTCAGGGAATCAGGTTTCACGCGCCTTTGAGGAAGGGGGGGGAAAACCCCCAGAGGCTTTGCTGGGGCTGTGCCCTCTTCACCTCTGTCCTAAGCTTTGTCTCCCTCTCCCTGCGCAGGGTGCTGCAGAGCGGGCTGGAGGTGGAGCGCTTGCGTCTCAGGAACTTTTACCATTACTACCACTCCAAACGCGGCATGTGGAACGCCCGCAGCAAGAAGGCGCCCAAGGACTAGGGCCTGGGCCCTGCTGCCAGCCACGCCCAGGGCTCCTCTGCACCCCGGGGCGGGAGACGGCTGTTCAGCAAAACCAGCTGCCTCGGCTCTGCCCCCTGGAGCCCACGAGCCGTGGGAGTCGTCTCCAGGCCGCTGGCAGTGCCTCTAGACGCCGCGCTGGAGCGAGAGGCCCTCGGAGCTGGGGATTTCTCCAGAGCTCTCTAAACAAACCGCAGTTACTTTGGGAGGGGGGTGGGGGTGGGGGTGGGGGGGAGATTGTGATTTTTCTTAAGGCTTCTAATTTCTTAGTGAGAAACCAGTTTATTAACTCATTAGCACTGAGGGTCAGGGATCCTGTCAGAGGGAGGGAGCCAACCAACCCCTCACGCTGCCCCCAGCCCCTCAGGGAGCGGGGCAGTAAAACAAGGCCTGGAGCAAACCCTACCGCTCAGCTGCAGTGCTGGGGCGGGAGGGGAGGAGGCAACAGCCCCAGTCCAGCTGCCCTGGGAACCGACACAGGATCCATCCCCTGGAGAGGAGGTGGAGAAGGTGCTTATCAGCCTGGCAGCCAGGTTTCCCTCCTGGGCCAGGCTCCCCGGGGCCAGCCCTGGTAAGCGACGCTGGGGAGGTGCCCAGGTTCACAGGGTGCCACACTTGCTTGCCTGTACCACTGCGGCATCCCTTGGGGGCAGCATGAGTCGCAGCGAGCTTCCATGCACCCCTCTTTGGTGTGGCCAGGAGAGGCAGAGCTCCCTGTTCCGGGAGGCAAACACACAGGGCACGTACTGTCCGTGCAGGGCTCCCTAGGGAGATGGGAACCTCGCTGGGTACTGGAGGACGTGCCTCCGCGGTGGCTCGTTGGACGAACATACTGCTTTGGGGAGGTCTGGGGGCAGGCGAGGGGCGGATCTGTGAGCAGGGCCTTGCAGCTCGCCGGCCCCGTGCCCTGTCGCACTCAGAAGGGGAGGAGTGAGCGAGGGGGTTAGTATGATGCCGGTGCCTCGTGGCTCGCTGCCCCGTAACCTTCAGAGGCGGGTGCTGTGCCCTATGGGCCCCAAGCTGTCCAGTCAGGAAATCCCCCGCCCCAGATCTGCAGTCAGCACACAGGTGGGTTGCGACAACCCGGGCAGCTCCTGAAGCCGTTGGTGAGGTGGGCCCGAGGCAGAGCCGGGCGGAGCGGCTGATCCAGGCTCACTGTGCCTAGCTGCCCAGCAGCTGGGAGCTGTCCTTCCCCTGGCTGGAGCCCAGATCCTCTCAACGGGCACCTCATGAATCCGGCTGGGAGGGGCATCCTCAGCGCGCCCCCGGGGGCTGTGTGGGAGATGAGCTACAAACCCACCTCTGTCCCCTTCTCTTCCATCCACGTCCAAAGGGCTTGTGTCCCACAGCTCAGCCCTTCTCGAGCACAGTGAGACGCTGCGGTTCCTGGGGGTGAGCCAGACAGCAGCTCAGGCTCAGGGCGCTGCTTCCTGGGCCTGGTCGCGCTTGAGCGGGGAGGGAATGGGCTGGTAAATGCAGCGCCCCGGAGAGATTCCTTGCCAAGCCATCCACTGCCTTCAGCCTCCCTCCCTCCCGCGCCTGGTCCCTGCTGGCCTGGTGCAGCGTGAAACCCGCTGCTGGCCCCTCCGCCAGGGAAGGGAGGAGGGGATGGGTGGCGGGGAGCTCTGCTATGGGCGAAGGAGGTGGGGGGCAGGGGAAGGACACAGGGATGAAGCACAGCCACGGAGAGGCCGAACACTCTGCTACTTGGTGAACCTGAGTAAAGGCTAATGTCCCAATCCCAGCCCCGCTGTGGGGCTGGGGGGAGCAGCCAGTTGCCCAGCACAGGCTCACGGTCGTGGCAGGCTGGGGCTGGCCACTTGATGCCTGCAAGAGGCTCAAGTGTTGTTGACATTCCCCGTGCAGCCCCTGAGGAGGGCTGGTCGGAGCCCGCTCCCCCGGGGGCTGAGACGTCCTCCCTGGGGAGGGCCCGAGGCAGGAATCGGAGCAGGGAGGGCGAGCAATGTTTCCAAGCTAATTTCTGTGAAATTATGAGGTAGGAAGCTGTTTTCAGGAGGTTATGTCTGTTTTGTTTTTTATTATTAAAAAATAAAAGGAATGTCTTGGTTGGGATTTCCCTTCCGTCTCTGCTTCCTTCCTTTGCAAACAGACCAGGGGGGCGGTAGGCACTCGGAGCAGCATAAAGCCGGTCGCTGCTGCCACACAGCGAAAACATCAACTTCCAGCCGCTCTCCCCAGCTTGTCGCAGCCAGGCATAGTAACCTGCGTAACCAGCACATGTAACCTGCGGCATGGGCAGTTAGCAGGGCTTGAAGCCTGGACCTTAAACACCAGCGCACAGCCTCCTGCTCCTGGATCTAACAGGAGAAGCCCTGGCACCGGCAGCAGTAGCAGGCAGTTATCCTCAGCCACGTCATGAGGCGGTACACAATTGACAGCCACATTGACTGCAAGCCAGAAACCAGAGGCAGCCATGGCCTGCAGGCCCAGGGATCTCTGTGTGATTTCCCAGGCGCTGGGCAGCCATTGAGAACGTGGTGCTGAGCTATGGTGCAGCAGACGGTTCGCACTCCGACACCAGGGGGCTGGGCGCTTTGCAACCGCTGCTCGATTGGACTGGCTGGCTCGAAGGTGTTGCTATTTGCAGGGCTAGACAGAATGTGGTGTTCTCATTTGTATTAGAGTAGCCCAGTGGTTTTCAATCTTTTTTCATGTGTGGACCCCTCAAAACTTTCGAGTGGAGGTGCAGGCCCCTTTGGAAACCTTACACAGAATCTGCAGCCCCGCCCCGGGATCCGCAGACCACAGGTTGAAAACCACTGGAGTAGCATGAGAAGCCCCAGCAAGATCTGGGGCCCCCGTGGGCCGGGCGCAGCGTGCACACAGGACAAAGGCAGCGCTCGCCCGGAAGTGTTTGCAGGCCTAGCCAGACCCGACAGGTGGCTGAAACAAACAAGCGGTGGTGGGGGGGGGGATGCCAAGGTTACTAACACGGACCTGCCTCCCCATGGACTAGCCCAGAATGTGGCTCTGCTGGTCTCCCCAGGGAGCCTCAAGGAGGGGTTTGGAGGAGGCAGAAGGTGGGGGATTCGCAGCTTTTCCTGGTGGTGGGGGGGGGGGGGGAAGTGTGCATGACACAGGTGGGGTGGGAGGAAACAAGGAGGAGGATGGGCTTGTGGCTCTGGTGCTGGGCTGGAACTCAGGAGATCTGGCTTCAATTGCCAGCCCCGCCCCAGGCTATCCAGATAAGTCTCTGAGGCCTTGTCTACATAGAAAAGCTTTGCTGGTGGAAACGAAGGGGTTAAACAGGTGCAAGCTCCTGTGTGGCCACCCTGAGTGGTTTTATTTCCGTCAGCTTAAGTCAAATGGGAACAGGGATAAACTAACATCATCTGCAACAAGCCCCCCTTAAATTGCAATCAGTGTCCCCCCACAGGGGTTTAACTGAACCTGGGTGAGTGTGGGTAAAAAATAGGGCCTACATCTCTCTGGGCCTCTGTCAAGGTTCCTTCCTCACTCTGAACTCTAGGGTACAGATGTGGGGACCTGCATGAAAGACCCCCTAAGCTTACTTTTACCAGCTTAGGTTAAAACTTCCCCAAGGTACAAATTATTTTACCCTTGGATTTCCACTGCCACCACCAAACTTTATGTGGGTTCCTGAAAAAACGTAGTTTGGACACGTCTTTCCCCCCAGAATCCTCCCAACCCTTGCACCCCACTTCCTGGGGAAGGTTTGGTAAAAATCCTCACCAATTTACATAGGTGACCACAGACCCAAACCCTTGGATTGTAGAACAATGAAAAAGCATTCAGTTTCTTACAAGAAGACTTTTAATAGAAGTAAAAAGAAAAGAATCACCTCTGTAAAATCAGGATGGTGAATACCTTACAGGGTAATTAGATTCAAAACATAGAATCTAGGCAAAACTAGGCTGTCTAGGCAAAACCTTAAGTTACAGAAAAGACATACAGACAGGAATATTCATTCTATTCAGCACAGCTATTTTCTCAGCCATTTAAAGAAATCATAATCTAACACATACCTAGCTAGATTACTTACTAAATTCTAAGATTCCATTCCTGTTCTGTCTCCGGCAAAAGCATCACACAGACAGACACAGACCCTTTGTTTTTCTCCCTCCTCCCAGCTTTTGAAAGTATCTTGTCTCCTCATTGGTCATTTTGGTCAGGTGCCAGCAAGGTTACCTTTAGCTTCTTAACCCTTTACAGGTGAGAGGATTTTTCCTCTGGCCAGGAGGGATTTTAAAGGGGTTTACCCTTCCCTTTATATTTATGACAGCCTCCGTCCCCCTTTGGAAATGGGGGTAACACTTCTCCCCTCCTTCTACCCGTTGTCTGTCTCCACCAGCTGCTCTGTGGAGCAGGAAGTGCCTTATGCTGTGTTTGTACAGCACCTCGCGCAGTTCGGCCTGTAGCCATCGCTCTGGAGCGGAGGTGAAGAGCGCGCTGAGGCAACTGCTCTGACAGGCTGGGAGTGGGGTTGGGATCTAGGTTCTCAGGCTCCGAGAAGGCAGCAAAGCAGAGTTGTGGACAAAAGGTATGTGTGCTAACAAATCCCTCAGTGCGGCCCTGGCAGGGGTTAAGGGGTCCCTTCCTGGTGCCAAGGGGATGCAGCAGGTGCCCTGGGTGTGGCAGTGTTGGGCACAATCCTACTCCGAGGGAAATTCAAATCAGCTGCCACCTGACCGTGCGCACATGGCGGGGAAATCACTGACTGGAGGCTAAGAGAAGGGCTTTGAGTCGGGGGGGAGGAGAGAGGGCTGCTTCTGATCCCATTTAGCACCAGTAAATTCACACCAGTTGGTTTCCCTGATGCACTGTTTGTAGATTAGTTATAACCCCACCGCATCAGTGAGTTTCACTCAGGGCTCTTCAGCTTCACAGGGCTTGAGGAAGCTTTAGCAACTCCCGGGAGGTATGGAAGTTACTCTGATCATCTCCATGTAACTGATGGATGCAGTGACTTGACTAAGGTTGTCCCCCTCCGCAATGGCAGCTGCTCATTCTGTTGCGTTTATTGGCAACCAAGGACAGGAGCCAGGAACAGAGCCCGGAGCAGGACCCCGCAGTTCCTAGTTCCTGCCCTGCCTCTCCCGCACTGCTCAGGTCTGCCTCGCTAGAGAGAGGAGCCTAGATGTCAATGTGCATTTCGGGGGAGAGGAGCTGGGACAGACTCAAACTGCCAAGCGACAGCGTCTCCCCATCCCCTTTTCCCCCTGCCCGTGGGAGCCTGAG